AATGACAACAAGTTATACATCGAATGAAAGCTAAGGAGAAGACAATTTCTATTCCGTTCGCGCCAATGCTACTCGACCACTGGGAAGTCAGCTATGACTCCCAGAAGAGGCCGTGGGACTGTTAAACGTCCCGGCCATTTTCGTCCAAAGTTCACCAAAAAGTCGCATTTTTTAAAAGTTAATTTTCCGACGAATGTGTACATTGCTTCAGTTTTCTTTGCAGGTTTTGGTTTCGACGAATAGTGTAAGTGAAACCCGTTTGCGCCAGTGCTGTTTTGTAAGAACTTTTTTAGAAACATGGGTCATAAAAATCTGGGTGGATGGATTACCCAATGGCCCAACCACTCGGTGAAAAAAAAACGAGGGAGGGATATATAACCTCCCTATTCCTCCGGTTACCACGTCCCCCATAATTATAGACTTTAATAATGTGTGCAAGTTTCTGCAGCCGCTGTTTCTGCAGTGCAATTTCCAGCAATAGCCCATTAAGTCAGACACGGCCTATTATGGGGTATTATTACACCGCCTGCAGGTCTACCTCCAGCACCAAATCGATATCACGGTTTGGTTTTTATTGGCAATTTTACGTTATGCCTACCGTTGCTTATGGAAACGTTCGCCAGGTTTAATTGTCTCATATTTATTTTTTCCGCGTTAACTTTGCGTGTGTGTGGCCTCATGCACAAACGCATATACCGTTTTGTTCAGACATTCTGGAATATCCTTGTGGAGTCATTTCTTTGTTCTCGTGTACTAAAGTTTTCGAGTTTGAGAGTGTACGTTCAAAATGCTCCTATTAAACCAAAATTAAGTGTCTGGGCTGAAACTCGGGCTTAAAATCCCTTACATAAAATACTTCAATTTTTGACACATCAACACAGCTTGAAAACTCCCAGTTTTTGAGTAAAATTTATATATCTATTTCGTGATAACCTCGTGAAGACGGATAAATTGCCTTTGCAATCGTTCGTTTCCTATTGTACATACGTATAATGTAGTGAATTACGAAACGTGGTATCAAGACTATAGTGAGTAACCAGCAACGGTCAACAGACACTGGATATTATGATTGGTGAACAATTCTAAATTATTCTTTTTCCCGATAACACTGAGAAACCAATGACAACAAGTTATACATCGAATGAAAGCTAAGGAGAAGACAATTTCTATTCCGTTCGCGCCAATGCTACTCGACCACTGGGAAGTCAGCTATGACTCCCAGAAGAGGCCGTGGGACTGTTAAACGTCCCGGCCATTTTCGTCCAAAGTTCACCAAAAAGTCGCATTTTTTAAAAGTTAATTTTCCGACGAATGTGTACATTGCTTCAGTTTTCTTTGCAGGTTTTGGTTTCGACGAATAGTGTAAGTGAAACCCGTTTGCGCCAGTGCTGTTTTGTAAGAACTTTTTAGAAACATGGGTCATAAAAATCTGGGTGGATGGATTACCCAATGGCCCAACCACTCGGTGAAAAAAAAACGAGGGAGGGATATATAGCCTCCCTATTCCTCCGGTTACCACGTCCCCCATATAGACTTTAATAATGTGTGCAAGTTTCTGCAGCCGCTATTTCTGCAGTGCAATTTCCAGCAATAGCCAATTGAGTCAGACACGGCCTATTATGGGGTATTATTACACCGCCTGCAGGTCTACCTCCAGCACCAAATCGATATCACGGTTTGGTTTTTATTGGCAATTTTACGTTATGCCTACCGTTGCTTATGGAAACGTTTGCCAGGTTTAATTGTCTCATATTTGTTTTTTCCGCGTTAACTTTGTGTGTGTGTGGCCGCACGCACAAACGCATATACCGTTTTGTTCAGACATTCTGGAATATCCTTGTGGAGTCATTTTTTTGTTCTCGTGTACTAAAGTTTTCGAGTTTGAGAGTGTACGTTCAAAATGCTCCTATTAAACCAAAATTAAGTGTCTGGGCTGAAACTCGGGCTTAAAATCCCTTACATAAAATACTTCAATTTTTGACACATCAACACAGCTTGAAAACTCCCGGTTTTTGAGTAAAATTTATATCTATTTCGTGATAACCTCGTGAAGACAGATAGATTACCTTTGCAATCTTTCGTTTCCTATTGTACATACGTATAATGTAGTGAATTACAAAACGTATACTGGTATCAAGACTATAGTGAGTAAACAGCAACGGTCAACAGACACTGGATATTATGATTGGTGAACAATTCTAAGTTCCTTTTCCCGATAACACTGAGAAACCAATGACAACAAGTTATACATCGAATGAAAGCTAAGGAAAAGACAATTCCTATTCCGTTCGCGCCAATGGTACTCGACCACTGGGAAGTCAGCAATGACTCCCAGAAGAGGCCGAGGGACTGTTAAACGTCCCGGCCATCTTCGTCCATAGTTCACCAAAAAGTCGCAGATTTACAGTGTTTAAAAGTTAATTTTCCAACGAATGTGTACATTGCTTCAGTTTTCTTTTCAGGTTTTGGTTTCGACGAATAGTTTAAGTGAAACCCGTTTGCGCCAGTGCTGTTTTTGTAAGAACTTTTTTTTTCCGAGAAAAAAATGTCGGATTTGGCCTATGTCCACGGTGCGTATTCAGCAGATAAGCATTTCCATGAATATGCACGGGAACCCTATTCTAATCAGGGGCTGTGACCTTCGTGACGTGACTTCGAAACTGAAGAGCTGTCGTATAACTAACCAGCGACTCCCACATAACGCCAATTAGTCAGGTGGCATATGGTCGGAATCGTGACCGACTGGTCCAAAGCACCAAACTTGGCAGATAGATTCTTATAGACCTAGAGAAGATATTTAGAAGGGGTGACACCCGAAATTCTTTTGGGAAGGGTGCCTAATTTGCATAAATCGTTAATTCCTGCCGTGTAATATATTTATTCCCATATTTGGGTATATTTTAATTTTTTATTTTTTTGAAAAGTGTATTTTGGGGATTCTACTTACTTAAATAACATTTTTCAAAGCATGTAAGTGACTTAATAATTATGAGGACATAGTAACGATCCAAAATGGCTACTATTATGCCCTAAATTGCGCACATTTACCTTGTCCCCAGATATCATCAATTAGTCTTGCCAAACGTCACCATTGATGAACTTCAAATTCACCACGTAGCTTACTGGTACAGTTACCCTATTGAAACCTTATGGAAAATCATGCGAACAATGAGAACATTGTGATATTTAGCCCAGAAAACAAAAACTGGGGGAAAAAACGAGGTGTCCATAAATTGGGCTAACAAGTAAGGTGAAGGGTTGCCTAACATGGAAGACTGGAACAAGTTCAAGGAAATTCCCAAAATTATTGTTGAGAAAACGTTTTGGCGTAGACAAAATTATTGTAAACAACAATAATCTCTTATTTGGGGGGATTTTGTTGAACTTGTTCAAGCCCCCACGTTACCCTTCCCGTAGTAGCCCAATTTACGGACACCACATTTTCTCCCCTTTTTTGGTCTTTTGGGCCAAACATCAAGATGATATCAATTTTCACATGATTTCCCACTTATTTTTGTTAGGTTAACTATGGCAGTAAGTACCTTTGTGAATTTGAAGCTCATCAATACTCACGTTTGGCGAGACTAGTTGATGATATCTGAGGAACAGGTAAATGCGCGTAACTTTAGAGTAAAATTGTAGCCATTTTGGTAATTTACTATGTCCTCGTAATTATTCAGTCACTTACATGCTTTAGAAAATGTTGTTGAAGTAAGAATATGCAAGTAGAATCACCAAAATACACTTTTCAAAAATACCCAAATATGGCAAAAAATATATTACACGGCAGGGATTAAAGATTTATGCAAATAAGGCACCCTTCCCAAAAGAATTTCAGGTGTCACCCCTTCTAAATATCTTCTCTAGGTCTTTAAGAATCTATCTGCCAAGTTTGGTGCTTTGGACCAGTCGGTCACGATCTTGACGAAAATTAGATCTAAGCCACCTGACTAAATATGGGCCCGTCGAGTTCATCAGCCACAGGCACCACTACGTTGCATGCATCATGCCTTGTGAAGGAGCTTTTGCGAGCGTTTGAACTTACTGTACAACAGTGGCGTAGCCAGGAATTTTTCGGGGGGGGGGCGCTGGGGGGGGGGGGGCGCTGGGGGGGGGCGCTGGGGGGGGGGGCTGGAACATTTCATGGGGGGCGTCATGTAGATCAATGATAGTTTTTTAAGAAACTCAAATTCTCAGTGGGGGGGCGACTGGGGGCGACAAGGTTTCATGGGGGGCGGTTGCCTCCCCCTCACGGCCCCCCCCCCCTGGCTACGCCACTGCTGTACAAACAGATGTTCCGTTTCAGATGATGTTTGAAACATCTAAAATTACACCTCCTGCAGATCTATCTTCAGCACCAAATCGATATTCTGGCTTGGTTTTAAATTGGCAATTTTATGGTAAAGGCCTACGCACGACTCCCCAATTCCAGTCAGGAGCTGGCATCTTCGTGACGTAAAGGGAACAGAAGAGCTGTCGTTATAACACTGAAATAGATAGGGTAACCAATCAGCGAATCCCACGTCATAACGCCTCTACAGCCTGGCCCCTAGAATTCAGCCACATAGGTACGTACCACTACGTTTTCTGCGTTGTGCCTTGTGAAGGAGCTTTTGCGATCGTTGTATATATAAACAGATGAAAAATGCTCTATTTCAGATGACGTTTAAAACATTTAGATCGACGAACAAGCCACACTACTAGTATTACAAAATTCTACTGCATGAGTCTAGCAATTCCAACGAGATCGCCTATCGACTGTAAAACTACCATCAATTTTAGACGACGGTATTATAGCAAAACTGAATATTGGTATGGAAGTGATCTACGTTTTGTATCTTACTTTCCTGACAGCTGCCATTGCTTGGTTAGTTCCATGTGGTTACTCGCGCCAAACATGGCAGTGTACGTTTCATGCCGCAGAAAATCGCGCCCTGGAACATTTTGCCTATGCGAACAAAACAGTGCGATCTCGCGTCATCTGCGGACGGGAATGCAGCATGGATGAACGTTGCAAGTCGTTTAACTACAACGACTGCAACAACAAGTGCGAGTTGAACCTTGCCACAAGACGAGAGCATCCCGAAGACTTCAATGCAACTCAAGGGAGTGTGTACTTTGATGCAGATGAGGACACATCTCTCTACTCACTGGCTGATAGCTCCTTTAGTTACTATCAACTGAGTTGCAAAAGGCTCTTAGATGCCGGTAATCGTTCAAGCGGTATCTACACAATCTACCCAGATGGATTTTGTAAAGGCGGTCTTCGCGTCTACTGTGACATGGAAACTGACGGCGGGGGGTGGATCGTGTTTCAGAGGCGACAAGATGGCAGCGTGGACTTTTGGCGTAACTGGAACGAGTACCTGTCTGGCTTTGGCAATCTGTCCGGTGAGTTCTGGTTGGGCAACGACAACTTGGTGACTCTGACGTCTGATGATTCACAAGGAACATGGGAGCTACGAGTTGATTTAGGGGACTGGGAAGGCAAAACAGTTTGGGCAAAGTACACCGATTTTAAAATATCTCGTGGTAGGCGGTATAAGTACCGTCTGAAATATGACTTTTACGATATGAACAGCACCGCTGGCGACTCTCTTGCCTACAGCAAGGGTAAGGCTTTTACAACAAAGGATAAAGACAACGACAAGTGGGCGTACAACTGTGCAGTTTACCACAAAGGAGCCTGGTGGTTTGATGGAGCGGGTGCTACGCACTGTATGATGTCTCACTTAAATGGTATCTATTACCCAGATCACCAAAAACCGGGTGCTGACTGGGGAGTCCATTGGTTTCATTGGAAACCTAAAGATTACTCCTTGAAAACTTGCAGCATGAAAATACGTGAAGCATAACTATACAGAGATAAAGATAATCGGAAGATGTGTTTGACGGTGCAGTTGGTCAAGCTCCCAGTTCTCAGGCTCAAATCGCGCTCAGTACCGTTTATTGAAACTTGCCAAAAGTTATAATCTGATGAAAAGTATAGGAGCAAAACGAAAAAGGGACTTTTGTTCAGAAACTGTTAATTGAAAAATAGATCTGCAAGCCTCATCAGTGTTCCGTTTCGTCAGAACGTTTGTTGAGATAAATAATTTTGTGGAACTTGCGGAATCTTTTAATATATGCTACATTGTGTTTGCTTGGCAAGTCTTTTGCCATTAAGGGTCCTGAATGTGAATGTGGTAACTTAACCTTTTACAATATTGCACATCAACACTCAATTTTTGTATAGACGGATAGACGGCACACAATTACCAGTGTTTATTCATATCGAAAGTAACAAAAAGGCCGCTGTACAACAACTCAAGATTTGACTCGCTAAAAATGAATTGTATGAGATCTTCAAAGTGCATATCGCAAACACCACAGTTGCGACACTGCTTTGCTTTGCGTTGTCAACGGCCTTCTGCTGACTCTTGATGTCAGAAAGGACGCGGTACTTGTCTTGCTTGAGCCAAGTGCCGCGTTCGACACTATAAATCGTGACATTCCCACCCAATTGTGTCACAGGAACAGCACTTGAGCGTTTTGATTCCTACATACGTGACGGTGAGCAGATGGATAAGACTCTGTGATTTTATATGCACTGAGCCTCATGTGTTACGGTCCGGAGTTCCTCAGGGCTCCGTTGCCGGTCCGCAGATTTGTACACTATATACCTCCCCAGTTGAAGACATTGTTAAGCGTCACAAGGTCGAAGGCATGTTCTATGCTGACGACTCTCAACTCTATGTCAGTGTGGACTGAAACAATATTGATCCATCGATCAGCGAGCTTGAGAAATGTTTCACAGAAATCAAGAAATGGACTGCAGAGAACAAGCTCTGCTTGAATGACACCAAGACGGAGGTTAATCCATCTATCATCCCGTTAAGCAGGTACTATGCCATAATGAAAAAACCCAACGGCATATGAAAACAACAACAATAACAACATAAAATTATGTAAGATAATTGACAGGAGAAATGTTCAAAATCAAAGATAAGCAAATGGGTTTTGAGTAAAGTCTTGAACAGACCCAGTGATTTTGCATTTCTAAAATGTGTTGGAAGCCAGTTCCAGGGTTCGGGAGCTGTATATATGAGAATGATCGCTGGCCGTATGTTTCAGTGTTCACAGTTCGTCGTCGTAGAATGGTAGCGGCGTTTGATCTACGAGTGCGAGAAGGTTCCTTGATGCAGATCCTACCGTTCGCTCGTACCCCCGCCCTGCAAACAGGACGCTGGGAAGGGCTGATTGGGACGCTGGAAAGGGCTGGGAAGAGTCCCTCCGGTTCTTTTCAGAACCACACTTACTCAAAAAAAGATTTATTAGTCCCTCCGGTTCTTTTCAGAACCACACATACTCACAAAAGATATTTTTTCACATGGTGGCACCGCAAACTTATCTTGTCTTAGTGTCTTTCCACCATGCAAACTTTCAAATCTCAAGGGCTGATCTCTTTGAGCTCTCATTGGATAGATTTTGCGTGACCTGTGACGTAGCAAGCAGCACACAAACTCGCTGCAACTGTGTATCATACAGCGCGCGCTAGCTGCATGCGAAGGTCGTGGTAGTTTTCAATGCCCAGAATGGCATGCGTACTTCCTTCACAAGATTCTGTGAAGATCATCAGCCTTTCCCAGCGCCCTGTTTGCAGGGTGGGCGGAGTGAAACTCTACCAGAGCCTTTCAGCGTATTCGATGTTTTTGTTCTCCTATCAAAGTTTCGATTTTTAAGTTTTATTTAAACAAAAAAAAACCTATTTCTTTTCTATTTTGGACGATGTATTGTCGGGCCTCATTATAATTAGAATTCTTTAAAGTAAATATTTTATAACTTAACGTGCCTTTTTTTCTTGATGTCTCATTGAAAAGTGAATAACATTTTTATTCCTAAAAAAGAAAAAGCAATAAAAAAAAGTCGAGATTAAAGTCGAAAATAGCACCGGCAGAGCAACTTAAAGAAGATACTTTTATGTTCGTCGAGGAAGAAGGGAGAAACTTTGAATAGTGAAAAAATTGCTATAAACGTGGTTTAAAAATTGCTATAAACGTGGTTTAAACATTGTTTTAGAGACTCCTTTTCTGGCCACTCTTCTGTCACTACCCACAGAACCATTGGTAACATCACTTGTAACACCTCTAATGTCATATATCTCATTTCTTGCAGGGTCTGTGGAGTGCAGTATGTAGGTGAGACTAAGAATACGCTCAAGAAGCGTTTCTATGCCCATCGGTCAACGGTCAACACCAAGAAACTAGACACCCCTGTTGGTCATCACTTCAACCTGCCTAACCACTCCATTTCTGATATGATTTTGCAGGGCATTGAATCTCTTGGCCATCGCAAAGAGTCAGTTCGCCTCAGCAGAGAGAAGGTGTGGATGAATCGTCTTCGAACTATTCAACCACATGGTCTCAACATCCAACTTGGAAATGATTAATCCTTTTCTTCCTCCATTGTCCTCTGTTACAGATAATCCATCTGGTCTTCCTTGTTTGTGTTTACACATCTCCCGTCATCTTTCATCCCTTTCCACCTTAATACTGTTCCCCCCCCCCCCCGCATCATCCCTTCACTCTCACACTCTTTTGTCCGTTCCCACTCCCTGTGACCTTTGATCCTTCCCCTTTCTGGTCCCTCCCCTGTTTACACCAGACCCCTTGTGGTTTGCCATCTCCCTTTGTTTCTTTGTTCTCTCATCCACCCTCCCCTGCATCTTTCCACACCTTTCCCTCCTAATCCTCCTTTTGTGTTTCTTCTTTCAGCCCTGCATGTTTGTGTGCACCCCCATGTTAATGTATGTATCTCTGTCATTTCTGTTTTAGCCTCTGAAGAAGAACTTGCTAAGTTCGCAACGTCAGGCCACATTAATTTTAAGATTTATATATTTCAGGTCCATCCAGTCAGTAAGCAGTTTGCAGCAGTTTTACTTTTTTTCATGTTTCAACTTCTCTGTTGCAGTATCCCTTCGTGGTGATCCTCCTTGCTGTCATGTAAGTTTCATTGTGTTTTGTTTTGTTCCTTCTTCTGATCGTTTTATATCATGTACTAATCCAACTGTTCTCTCCACACTACAGGTACCTACAATTTTGTTTTGCTCTGTCCCTTCAAAAGGCATGAGCAACTCCATTTGACAACTTTTGTCTTCGTGTTCCTCCACTGATTTATTGTATTAACCATTTATTCTCTCCCTTTCTACAGATATGAGTGACACCATTTGCACTTTCCAACAGCTCAGAAAGGCAAAGGAAAAGGCCTTACGCTTTTCCTACCATCAGGATAACTACAGTTTTTACTCCCTCTCTCGATTTATCCCCAAAGGTTTGCAACTGTCTCACACTCCCTGCTTAGGAAACCTCCCACCACACCTTCAAAGGAGATGGAATCAAGTTCTTCATGGTGCCTCTATTAAACTCATCAATATTCTCTCTCAGCAGTGTCAATTTACACGTGAGGACCTCCATCAGAATATTTCCCACCTTGACTCCCAACTCAAATCCAGTTGTTCTGACTCCACGTACAGGAATTTCCATGATGAGATTGAAAGGGGTTTGTCTAACCTTGACTCTGTCCTACTCAACAGGAGAAACAAGAAGATTGGTGGCTTGCTTGCCAAGCAACAGCAACGCAGACACAGACGTTTCAGACGTCCTAGGTCCCCATCTACCACGCCACCGCCAGAACCCCCTGTCAACACTGTAGTTAATCTTTCTTCCTCATCAATATCTGACGCAGAGCACAAACTTCTCTCCAAGGGTCTCAATTTTTGTCCCGCTCCCCGTTCTGTGAACCAGGTTCAGCTCAGCCAAGATCTCACGGAATACTACCGTAGAATCCGCCTGCGTGAGTTTTTCCTGGACAGTGAACCGTGTGAGCCAGAGCCTTTTCGAGTCAAGAGTTCATGGGTACCCCCCAAGAATCGTGTGCCAGCCATAGAGACATACGTTCAAGTTATCAATTCCCAAGTCACTAACCCGGACAACTTCCCCCACAGGACTCATGATAATCTCCCCAGAGAGGAGCGCCTGGCTCTCAACTCCTTGCGCTCTCGCACCGACATCATCATCAAGCCAGCAGATAAAGGTTCAGCTGTGGTCATCATGGATCGTCAGCAGTACATTGATGAGGCCCACCGCCAGTTGGATAATCGCACTAACTATACCCGCCTTGACTCTGACCCCACAGGCACTTTCTGTCAAGATATACAACAGGTACTTGACGATATGCGATCACGTGACCAGTTGTCGAAGAAAGCTCACAAATTTCTTTCTCCCTGTGATTGTAGGACTGCCAGATTTTACCTTCTACCCAAGATTCACAAGGCTGGCAACCCCGGTAGACCCATCATCTCCGGTAATGGCTCACCCACGGAACGCATCTCCCTGTTCATTGACAGTTTTCTCAAACCCCTTGTCCCACAGATTTCGTCATACATTCACGACACCCCAGACTTCCTACGCAAGCTTGAAGGAATCAAGGACCAGATTCCCAGCACAGCCATCATTGGGACTTTCGACGTCTCATCTCTGTACACCAACATCCCACATGAGGAGGGTGTTCGTGCTTGCTCCTTGGCTCTGGCCAAGGCAGGACACACGACTCCTCCCATCAGTGATGTTGGCACCCTCATGAGACTTATACTAACGAAGAACAATTTTTCCTTCCTTGGTGAACACTATCTACAGGTACACGGCACTGCAATGGGCACTCGCATGGCCCCGTCGATGGCTTGCCTCTTCATGGGTGACCTCGAAGAACGCATTCTTGCCTCGGCCCCATGTCGCCCTTGGATCTGGTGGAGATATATTGATGATGTTTTCTTCATCTGGACCAGTGATGAGGACAGTCTCTTGACCTTCACTAACCACATCAATTCCTTCCACAGAACCATCAAATTCACATCGGAGTTCTCGGCTCACCAAACCCACTTTCTGGATGTCACCGTCCGCAAGCAAGGCAACTCACTAACCACTGACCTGTATTCCAAACCCACAGACACCCACCAGTACCTCCACTCCTCCAGCTGTCACCCCAGGCACTGCAAAACTGGCATAGCGTTTAGCCAGGCACTCAGACTCAGAAGAATTTGTTCTAATGATTCCGATTTCTCCCGCCATACACAGATACTGAAGAACAACTTGGTGACCAGGGGTCACAGCTCTCGCCAAGTTCATCGTGCCATTGCCAGAGCTAAAGCTATCCCCAGAAATCTAGCTCTCACGGGAAAGGCCCCTGATGCCATGGCCAAACCCATGATTCCCTTGGTTACCACGTTTCACCCCAATCTCCCTCCCCTCCGCAAAATCACTAATGACAATCATCATATCCTCCATACTTCAGATCGCCTTGCCCGCGCCATCCCCAACGGCCCCACATTGGCTTACAGGCGTCCTCGAAATCTACGGGACTTGATTGTTCGAGCTGAAGTCCCTTCCTTAGATGCATCCCCTCCCACCCAGCATGGTACTTTCAAGTGCAGTTCCAGATGTGTTGTCTGCCAGATTCATATCCAGGAGTCTGACTCCTTTTCTGGCCACTCTTCTGTCACTACCCACAGAACCATTGGTAACATCACTTGTAACACCTCTAATGTCATATATCTCATTTCTTGCAGGGTCTGTGGAGTGCAGTATGTAGGTGAGACTAAGAATACGCTCAAGAAGCGTTTCTATGCCCATCGGTCAACGGTCAACACCAAGAAACTAGACACCCCTGTTGGTCATCACTTCAACCTGCCTAACCACTCCATTTCTGATATGATTTTGCAGGGCATTGAATCTCTTGGCCATCGCAAAGAGTCAGTTCGCCTCAGCAGAGAGAAGGTGTGGATGAATCGTCTTCGAACTATTCAACCACATGGTCTCAACATCCAACTTGGAAATGATTAATCCTTTTCTTCCTCCATTGTCCTCTGTTACAGATAATCCATCTGGTCTTCCTTGTTTGTGTTTACACATCTCCCGTCATCTTTCATCCCTTTCCACCTTAATACTGTTCCCCCCCCCCCCCGCATCATCCCTTCACTCTCACACTCTTTTGTCCGTTCCCACTCCCTGTGACCTTTGATCCTTCCCCTTTCTGGTCCCTCCCCTGTTTACACCAGACCCCTTGTGGTTTGCCATCTCCCTTTGTTTCTTTGTTCTCTCATCCACCCTCCCCTGCATCTTTCCACACCTTTCCCTCCTAATCCTCCTTTTGTGTTTCTTCTTTCAGCCCTGCATGTTTGTGTGCACCCCCATGTTAATGTATGTATCTCTGTCATTTCTGTTTTAGCCTCTGAAGAAGAACTTGCTAAGTTCGCAACGTCAGGCCACATTAATTTTAAGATACGTATAATTATGCTTAGAAATCACTGTACAGTTGTGTATAGATTAAAACAAAATTTTGAGAATGTGGTCACAACATGGATGCCTGGAGATCATTGTTTTGTTGATTGTGTTTTTCTATATAATTGGAAAATTTCGTTGGTAAATTTTGCTAATTGTCATAAAATCTACACAGAGGACCTAGGTGAAGGATGAAGTTAGAAGGGTGGGGTTGAGAAGGAAAAAGGCCAGGAAAAGTGTCAGGTCAAATCCAACCCGGATCCATATCGAATATAGCCCGGGACTTTTGAGAGAATAGCGCCCTCTGCCCCAGTACAGGGAACCTTGCCGCTTCCTCAACTGGTTCCCCTTGTCAAATTAGCATAATAATGTGGACCAGGAACCGTAGCCCCTATCTCAGGCTGCGTCCAAATTTACTTGGCTGCTTGACATGTGTCAATTTTCCACAATCACGTGTGTTTTACTTCCTGCAATCTGAGTGATGCCGACCAAGGCTTAATTATCTTATCTCGCTCGTATCGTCCAGGGGCGATCGATGGTTGTAACCATTAATCCCTCACACACAATCTTACAAAGGAAACGCAAACATCGCAAAGCATTGTAGGTATGCCATGAGCCATGTTTAATGCACGTTCATTCCGTGCCGACATGCCAAGTGTTGACCCCAGGTCACGGAGTTCAATCCGTCCAATCAGAGCTCAAAGAAACCAGGGTTCACTTACTGCTTTGGATAAGGCAGCCAAATAATGAGGGCGCTTTCTAATAATTTTTTTTATAATAAGTCTTTATAGGAGTAAGCTTATGAGCGTCATGGAGCAGAAAACACGGGAAGTTGCTTAGCACTCGAAAATATCTTCCTACCAAAAACAGGATTCCAGCAAAAATTATAAACGTATAATATAAATTCTGTGCTTTTTGCCAACAATTGTAGCCATATTGAGACTATTGGTGGCAGCAGATATGTTTGTGATGGATGGTCGTTTCCGAGTATAAACACATCGCGCATGACTGACAAAGGATAATGCAAACTATAGAATGATTTATTGTCATAGTTCTTGTACAAATTTGACAAAAGAGACATCAAAGAACATCTCATCACAGGGTTCTGTAGAAATCGATCAAAGTAACACTTCCAATTTATTTTGTATTACATTCTATGCGTTGTCTATCATGCAAGGATTATTTAGTTGTGCAAAACTCGATTTCTTTCAAATCTTTGCATTTCCCGTCCAAACCAGTATACATAAGTCCATTCCTTCAAAAAAGCAATAATATGATTTTCAAAAGGGCTAGGTTAATCTAATTATCATCCGTTGTTCTCCGCAACATCATTGATGTGCATCAGCCAATCGGAGTCGACTTAAGAAATTGTGACGACATTTCGTTCAAAAAAGGGGACTCAGCTGTTTTGGGGGTCAATTTGGCTGCCATGTTTTTGTAATACAACAACACTTACCGAAGACCCGATAGAAGACGCCCGCTGAATGGTCAGAATTTAATCGACTCTGCTCGCATATCATAATACCCTTTCTCTGCAAGGGGATTCCATCGACTAGGTTTAACCTACTTCGTTAATGATCTTAAGTTTGCTTTTTACTTTGAAATGTATTAAAACCGTGTCCTTGTAGAAACGTGGAGCGAATTTCAGCAAATCTGAAAAACAACTTGGTACCGTTTATGTCGCCTTGGTTACCATGTAGTTACCAGTCTTAGGATTGGGGTATAATTCCACTGGAGATGAAATTAGGCTTATAAAATTATTGAGAACAGTCACAATATAGCGTGTTGGGAGGGAAACAGTCTATTTCATTGGCATGCTAGATGGAACAGTGGAGCATTTTAGTAATGAACGAGACACAGTGGATCCTACAGTCGACTTTACTGCACATTTCTGTTGCCGGTTCTGGCTCGATTGAAACAATTTCAACGCTGCTGATTAGGCCTAAGGGCAACACCAGTAATCACAATGGCTGTTGCTTTAGCGTCAAATGCAACCAGTGAGGTTCTGGAAGGCACACGGGCATCAAAGAACCCTTTAGATGCCACTGCGTCCTTGATGCGTCTGGTCTTGACACTGATTGTCATGTTGGTTGGAGTGCCAGGTAACTGTCTCATCCTCCGTGTCTACTGGACCAAGATTCGTAAGACCAGCACCCACGTCTTAGTCATGGCCTTAGCCTGGGCAGATCTCGCTGTCTGCGCGCTAAGACTTTTTACGATGTTGTTTGCACTTCTGCTTTTCGCAAATTACAATGTGAAAGAAATCTACGTTGCAAGCCTGCCGTTTCAAAATGCAGCTGTCGCTACATCTGTGCTATTTACCACTCTGATCGCCGCAGACCGTTACGACTGTGTCTGCCGTCCACAAAGGCGGTTTTTCACCCCACGGCGGGCTAAGATCTTGGTCTCAGTTGCTTCGCTGCTTGCAACAATCTGTAATGTACCCGACCTCCTCGCAGATTTTCATGAAGCGCCTACGTCCGATATCTTGGAAACAACTGTGTTGGTAGGCTCAGTGTTTTCTTTTGCAGTGGCACTGGTCGTAATTGCCGTGTGTTACGGGAAGGTTTTCGCGACCATCAGGAAGCACGTTAGAGTCGGTGCGGCCGTCCAAAGGTCCACCCGAGACGAGAGAGGCTCCATGCACCGGGACATCGAACTGCCAACCCGCCCCACACAACCCATACCGATCTCCCCAGAAACCAATGATAATCTACAAACTGTAAGTGGCGATAAGGTTGAAGTACCGACTGTTATCAACGAACCCAACTCAGATTTTCGAAACCTCGTGCCAAAGAACGATGCAGTGCCGAATCAAACCGGTCAGGGTTCGTCACAAGGTGGGAACTCCTTAGATCACCAGTCTGGACCAGGAAAATGTGCCACGGCAGAGACAGGCATGTTTACTGCGAGTGGGGATAGACGTTATCACCAAGAACAAGCTAACGGACACGCCCTTCAAAGGGCGGGTGCAGCAGTCCTACAGCGAAAAACAACAAGGATGCTCTTCATCACCAGTGTGGTGTTCCTGTTGACCTGGCTACCTTATTGGGTCTACGTTGCCATGGAAATTGCTTCCTTTTGTGGCGTTAACATCGACCCAGATTCTGTGAGTCTGACCTACGGCTTTGCTGGCCTGCTTTTTGCCAACCACGCTGCTAACCCGATAATTTACGGACTTGCAAACAGACGATTCAGAACAGATTGTAAGAAAGTGCTCATCAAGATTAGATGCTGTTGAATCAGTTGTTAAACTGGTCAACACCAGTGGCGTATCTAGCCGGGGCAGGGTGTGGACTTGACCACCGGCGACATTTTGCCAGTTTACTTATTTCTTTATTATTTAATTTTTTTTAAGGAAACGAAAGCGTCATCAGCAAATCACAGGCGCTACTAGTAGTATTACCCTCTCCCACATGGTTTTTAGATGATTGTTTTCAGTATTTTTTTCAAATCTAAAACAATACTTTTGTTGCTGGTCACAGAGGTCCAACCTACAGTCCTCTATGTAAGTGACTTACAGACTGACGCAATGACTCACGGACTGCCGCAAATGAAGTAGACTTACTTATGTCTCACCTTGGCCCAAAATGTGACTATCGGATGACTATCGGATGACTATTGGATGACTATCGGATGACAATCGGATGAGCTATCTATAGACATCTTGGACCAATTGTGTTGGTTTTAGGTCCGCGTATAGTCTTGTTTCTTCATTTCATGTTTTACTTACTTCTACGCTTTGTGATTTGCAGTGGTAAACGACTTGCACACGGTGTTTATACACAATGAAGTATTGTAATAGATAATCATCATAGACAAAGAACAGCGCGTGCCAAGAGCAATTTAATTGGGGAGGTGTAGCCACAAAAACGTTTCCAGGATTTTTTTCCGGACACAATATCAAATGGGGAGGGGGAATATCATCGATCACACGGGGGCGCTGTTTAAAATGACAATATTAAACAGTGATGGATTAATATCTATCATATCTGAAACTAATACTCAATTTTCGTTACCTTTTAACTATTATTCTGTAAATTGATGATTTTTTTTTGTTGGTACACAAAACTGGGGGAGGGGGATTCTATTGTTCATCCCCGGCCCTGTTCCAAAAGTGTTGGGAGGGGGATATGTATCCCTATCCCCCAGAATGTACGCCCTTGGGAAGCAAGTAGTTTGGTTGTATATAGATAATTAAAATATAATATGATTAGAATAAAACTAATTACAGGGTGTCCCAAAAAAATGCTCCACTCTCTTTTTCCCCAAAATTCAAGAAACCAGAAGGCATACATTTTCTTATCATGCATGGTAAGAATGCTATGTGTCTTGGTTGTTAACTACCAAAAAATCGGATCATACTGTCAATCCACTAGGGACAGAAATGCTTAAATATGAACTCGCCTCCATTTGCCAACTGCGCTGGGGACTCAAATCACCAATTTTAAAATGTCGATTTTTGTCAAGTGTGCTTTTCAAAAATTCTACTTGGTTTCTATTATGGAAGACCAGTCATCAGTTGTTGTCAAGCAAACAAGAGAAAACCAACCAACAATGGCATTGTCCATTTATTGGACTTTGACTAAAAATACCTATTTGTAAATCAAATACACGTAACAACCTATGTGTGGGCAGTGCCGATTTGCTTGACTGGTTCTTTTCAGACCAGAACCTTTTGTCACCTGATTTGAGGGAACCCCACACTGAATTGTAGCACCCAGCCACAGGTGAACAATTATTACCTGTGGTTGATTTACAAATTGGCATTTTTAGTCAAAGTCCAATAAATGAACAATGCCATGGTCGGTTGGTTTTCTCTTGTTTGCGTGACAACAACTGATGACTGGTCTTTCATAATAGATACCAAGTAGAATTTTTGAAAAGCACACTTGACAAAAATCGACATTTTAAAATTGGTGATTTGAGTCCCCAGCGCAGTTGGCAAATGGAGGCGAGTTCATATTTAAGTATTTCTGATAGTATGATCTGATTTTTTGGTAGATAACAACCGAGACACATAGCATTCTTACCATGCATGATCAGAAAATGTATGCATTCTGGTTTTCTTGAATTTTGGAAAAAAAGAGAGTGGAGCATTTTTTGGGGGGACACCCTGTATTACTATGCTACATGTACTCTTGAACTATCGATCAATGTAAAAGGGAATGTACAACATTTGCTTTTGCTGTAATTTTCAGAAATAAATGGATTTGGAGGAATAGTATGTTAAAGCAAATATTGTTACACTGACTTGTTTCACGTTTTTGGTTCGTACTTGTTGGTAAACTAAGAAAACCAATCATGTTCTTGTAGTCTGTTTCCCTGACCCCGCTTAAGATGAAACGAAGCAATTTATAGCCGTTGGGGAATTATAAGGTCAGAGAATCAGTCTAGCTGGCTTGTACTCCTTCACAGTGTGTAATCAATTGCAAATAAAGTGCGAAATACCTATAACTTTGGAAAAAACAGCTTTCTCCAACGCTGGTCGGCCGACCAGCGTTGGAAATTGTAAAAGTAAAATACCACTTTACTTAAAAATGTCAGCAAACCAGGAGCCATGATTGTACGGGATGCTTAGACTGTAGTTTCCTAACAGTCCACTGAGTAAAGAATTTCGTGGCAATTTGATCATTTTGTTTTTTGATGTTTGCAAATATGTTGTATCTTCCCTTTAATTTCAGTGAGTTTGCTAAAAATACAAATATTCTGAACCAATCACAAACTCGTCACATTATGTGTAAGGTTGATTTTGCGCATTCACAAAAAGAGGGCCGCACCTCATTTTGTAGGCCTACTGTCGTGCTTTTCAATTATAATCTTCTAACGAATTTTTCGTTTTGTTCTTTTTAAGAAGAACCGTATTTCGTGTATTATGTTGGGCGTTTGCAGCCCCGCTGAAAAAGGGGTTGCAACACCAAATTATTGTCGGGCCTCAAATAATTCGATGTTGAATTCAAAGTGAATAACGTTCGTTTGTACTGCTAGAAATGGATCGAATCAAAGTTAGAGCTAGTGATAAGCCAAAAAAATATGAAAATAGATTGATATATAAATTCGGGGTGAAACTCGAAAATAGAACGGTCAATTGTACACATTTGTTGTAAACGTAATTCGTGACTTCGCATCTAATTTTGGGGGCCATAGATGCGAAGTCACGATCTGCGAACTGAAATCTAGAAATTCGATGACCACACAGGCGAATAATGTGATGATAACATAGCGCCCTCTAGACAACGCCCATAAAATTAACAGTCGTAGTCTGGTGCACTTTCAGAAGTCTTGTCAACGTACGTACGTATGCATTATTGTGGAGTAAAAGTAGGTCAGTGTCTTGTGTACGTATTTTATACGACGTGCATGCACGATCTAGCGCGCACTCGTCAAATTCCCCCAAGAACGTCCCCGGCCCCGACGATTGATTGGATTTCTTGTCGAAGCAAATCGAGTACCGAAATCACCATGCATTGCTGTCGCCTTTTGACAGTATTCAGGCACTTCGGGACCGGTGCCAACTCGGGAAATGGTTTAGCTTTTAGACGGTTGACTAATGTTGGCAAAAATTCCGTGGCTTTCAGATATTCACGGGGGTATTCATCTGCATGCAGTGCGAGTACTAATTACGGCCGGTGTTCGACTTCGAGCCGTGGTGGTAGGATTTTTGCCCCGGCGCGATATTTGTCCCGTTGCACCCCCTCGTGGACCGGGTCCCAAGACTCTGACAAACCGACCGGATCGATTCTTGAACTCCAGCCCAACGATTTTGTGGACTTTCTGAAGGAGAAGAAGATCCGGCGGTGTTTCGTGGTGTATGACAGTCGGGCCGGTGAGGTGCGGGTGTCGCACCCAGAGCTGGAGGAGTTGGTGCGCTTCTCCCGTGAAGACCGGGTGGATTACGACAACCATGAGGCCGTGTTCCTGGAGGTCGGCGCCCGGTCGGGATGTCTCCTGGGTGCATTTGTCTGGAGGACAAACAGGGGCCAGGCTGTAAGATGTGTTCAGGATGTTTGCTTTCAACTTCAAGTCAAAAAAATATAGTCAAATGTTTTATTTCAAGTTTTCCATAAACCTACTTCACTAGTCCGAGTAACTTGGACCCAACTCATCGCCTTTTTAACATTCGGACATGGTCTGGCAATAGGCGATAAGTTGGGTCCAAGTTACTCGGACTACCCAAAAACCTGTATCTTGTGTTGTAAAGGGACGACAGAGGTTTGCACATTTAATCCTTGCTCTATGATGCAACGTCCAAATCTCATCTTTGAAAAGGTTAATTCTACAAAAAAAACTTCAAAATAGAAAGTACTGCATCGGGCGTTAAACGCATCGACTGCAGTCCTTATTTAAATGTGTCAAAGAGTGGCACATTTTAACTACACAATCCCAGGGCTTAGGATCATGCAAGGCATGATGGGAACCAACATGGCGCAGCAAGATCGTACTCATGGGGAACGCGGTTGTATCAGACGGAACTTTATGTCCATAATTGGTCATTTTGCCACGTTTCTCTTTCATTCAGTGTGGGGGTATCAGACTGTGGGACTATGCCAACATGGAGCAGTACCTGAGGGATGGACTACGGCTAGCCCAGGGAATGGGAGTCAAATCAGCCCTGGCTGGTCTATGGTAACTTGCCCATTACTAATTTACTAAACCCTATTTTAATGCCTGACGCAGAGTTGTAATACGAATCGTCACAGGTCATACAAATCCAGAGTCAAATATAAACCAGCTAAACAAATGAATTATGGGTTTAAGGCATTCTTTTGTTGTGCATTATTCCATGTTACTTGTGACCTGACTTGTGATTGACTTGTGGGTTGACTTCCGATTTCACTTCCGATTTCACTTTGGAGCGACTTGTGATTGACTTGTGATTCAAGTTGTGATTGACTTGTGATTTGACTTGTGATTGACTTGTGATTTGACTCGTGATTGACTTGTGATTTGACTTGTGATTGACTTGTGATTTGACTTGTGAGTTAACTTGTGATTTGACCTGTGCTTTGACTTGTGATGGACTTGTGAGTTGACTTCTGATTTGACCTGTGATTTGACTTGTGATTTGACTCGTGATTGACTTGTGATTTGACTTGTGATTGACTTGTGATTTGACTTGTGAGTTAACTTGTGATTTGACCTGTGATTTGACTTGTGATGGACTTGTGAGTTGACTTCTGATTTGACCTGTGATTTGACTTGTGATTTGACTTATGATTGACTCATGATTGACTTGTGAGTTGACTTGTGATTTGACCTGTGATTTGACTTGTGATTGACTTGTGATTTGACTTGTGATTTGACTTGTGATTTGACTTGTGATTTGACTTGTGATTGACTTGCGAGTTGATTTGTGAGTTGACTTGTGATTTGACTTGTGATTTGACTCGTGATTGACTTGTGATTTGACTTGTGATTTGACTTGTGATTGACTTGTGATTTGACTTGTGAGTTGACTTGTGATTCGACTTGTGATTGGCTTGTGAGTTGACTTCTGATTTGATCTGTAATTTGACTTGTGAGTTGACTTGTGAGTTGACTTGTGATTTGACCTGTGATTTGACTTGTGATTGACTTGTGATTTGACTTGTGATTTGACTTGTGATTGACTTGTGAGTTGACTTTTGATTTGACCTGTGATTTGACTTGTGATTGACTTGTGAGTTGACTTCGAATTTGACTTTGGATTGACTTGTGATTTGACTTGTGATTGACATGTGATTGACTGGATTACAACTGTGATCTTTCGAAATTGTCATTAATATTAACCAACAGATTTTCTCAAACTGTTTCCTGCAAAAAATGTTTGCAGAATGTTATATCAAGCCGTACTTGCACTGGAATTGGAAATTGGAATTGTCATTAATATTAACCAACAGATTTTCTCAAACTGTTTCCTGCAAAAAATATTTGCAGAATGTTACATCAAGCCGTACTTGCACTGGAATTTTTTTAGTGATAGGGTGAAATGTAATTGTGGCATTTTAACCAAGTCCAGAAATGTCACAAATTGGCATAAAAAGCAAAGAAAACAGCAAGAAAATCTACACATTGGCAGTTTCTCACTCAGGGGTGGTACATGTATGTTGAACAGGGCCAACCAAGGCAAAGCAAAGTTTCGTTTTCAGTTTCACTCGGCCAAACTGCCCTGAAGCTTTCATGATGTGCTCACTGTACTTCCTTGTTGGTCATTGATGGGTATAAACTGATGGCTTAGCAGATTTCTGTGTTCAACAATAGCAGCTTTTCACGAGCTGTTGTAGTACAGATGGGAATGCATTTCCAATCAGAGCGGGCTTCTTAATTTACGATGAAATGTTACAAACCTTTAGAGTTTTGAGGCCTGATCCATTATATACCTCATAAATATTCATCAGGCCACCGCGGCATTTCATTGGTGTCCATTCCAGCAACTCAACCGTGTGAAAGATTTTACTATTTCCCCGCGTCTTCGTACGTGCGTGTGACGCGCAAAAACCAGGGAGGTACTATCACACACCTGGGTCGCAGCCTTGGATTTGTTCCAGTAGTGTGTTATCTCTGTACCAACGACGCATGTGCTTTACGTGCGTACCGTCGAGAAAACCAGTGAGGACAGTTGTGCCAGTCTATTACGGCACACATCAAAATGGCAACCGGTGGTGCTCGCTTTGCGATTTTAACCGCAGATGAACTGGGTGAAATTCTACACAATAATAATAAATGCAATGTTTTATGGAAATGTTAAAGTTATCAAATGACACAGTATTAACTTTGTATTCTGTTTGTCTCCTTAAATTATTTTATTTATTTATTTATTTCTTATTTACCCTGGGGAAACCTCTCAGTGGTACACTGTTTTCCAGAGGTGCCCAGCAATTATACAGAACAATTCATTAAAAACTACAATTACAGAAAACACTAAAAATAGTAAATAGTAAGATATGGGTACATAAAAACACTTAAAATATACATACATAAAAAAATAATCATGGAATTCAGTAAAAACAAACAAAACACAGATACACACACCCAAAGAATTGCACTGAAAAAAACCCAGGAGCACCCATGCACTGCATAAAACTCTGCGTGAATAATATTAAATCTCGCGCTTAAATTGTCTGCATGATGAGCAGTTATCAAAAAGCTGTAAGCAACCAAAACCAGAGATCAAGCAATTTGCCCCATTATAACAGGCGCATTATCAATGGGTACTGCACTAGTACATTAAAATTAAAATAATGTTTCACTTTATCCAAATACTGCATGATAAAAAACATGGCGGAATGGACCAATGAAATACCGCAGCTGCCTAATGAATATTTATGAGGTATAGTAAAATAAATACAACATGTTTTTGCTGGGAAATAGAGAAAACAAATGATCCCTCGGTGTTGGATGATTGGGACTATCTCCCTCGGCTTTGCCTCGGGAGATAGTCCCAATCATCCAACACCTCGGGGCCATTAGTGTTCACTACTTCCCCACTAACCATGTTGTATTTGTATAATAACCTGCAGCTGGCAAGAATTCCTGGACTATTATCATAATTGGCAGGGGTTGTGGTGAATCATAATGTTAGATTTGGAGCAGCAGAAACATAAAAGTTAAAACATGCCCGATGTGCAATACAGCTTATTCATGTGGTGTACTTTGCAGTTACGGTCGTTTCCTGCCGGATATTTTGAAGCAAACTCCTAGTTAATTCTTTTTGACGTGCCTCTGCTCGGGGACTTTTTCCTTAAGCCTCCCATCCCTCCACTGTGCAGGAACTCAGTGGCACGTTCTTTGAATGTTAACAGAATCTCATTGGCTGGGCTCACATGTCTTCCTTAATTTTGTGCGAACTCCTCCAAAAACTTCTTAGTGGATATTGAAGTATTTGGGGAGGTAGGGGCAATTTTTTTGTTGTTAAATCACAGACCCCTCCACCCAACCAACCTGACTTCCTCACACCAACTACCCTCTCCATACCCACTCCTGCTAGTATAAAAGAAAATTTAAAATCAGGCGCACATTTTTTTTGCATTTTATTTTCCTTACAAAAATTCAGGGCCTGAATTACTGATAATTTTCGTAAAATCCCATTTTCTCAGTTGAATCCAACCCAGGTGTTGATTTACTCAAGATAAATGTATGCACTTATGTCATAATGTGCCAAGGAAGGGGTGTTATTGAGAGAAACCACAATCGAGTCTGTGACAATGTTAACCCAGCCTTCAAGGTCACACAAATGTCAGTGAGTCAGAATGAGTTTAGCAGGTACAATTACTATAGGCTCTTTTCTATAGCCATTTCTATGGGGAGCATCCATGTTTATTCATCATAGATACCGGCTGCTAGAACACATTAAAGGGCTATTAAATGATTTTTTTTAAGGTACACATTTTGTGCAACTTTCTACTCCTCTTACTTGTAAATGTATGAAAACTATTTGACATCCCAGACCCTTTTTGGTTCATTTTTTTGAAAAGGGGACTTCTTTAAAAAAATTCAAAAATTTCATACCTTTCCGGACAACCGAGGGTGTTGTTGCTGTGATGTCATGTCAGGAAGACTCTGTTCAGTTTAGGGGTTTTCTGTTCAAATTTTGAACACAAAAATTGGCTCATTGAAAACATTTGTGAGAAAATTTTGATCATTGGCTTACTGCCATGTAGTGACACTACAACGAATCACCAAAGAAAAGAAAATAATTATATCCAAAATTCTGGCAACCTTTGGTGCTTACATGTAAATGGCTGTAACATGCTTATGCCTGTAACATTCGTATGCATGAAATGACATCACTCTTTTGCTCCTGAATACGGAAATTTGCATTAGCATAAAAACAACAAAGGCACCAAAATACCCTTGAAAATGGCAAAATGAAAATGGACAATGAGGTTAAATGGGACACAACGGTGCATTTGCAAGGATCGCATTAAAGATAATACATAGCATGGCCCTTTAACTTAAGTGAATGCATTTAAATGTTTGCCAAGGTCTGCTTGTTTTTTTGGTTTTTTTTAATATTCTATCCGAAAGGCAACTGTTATAGGTTTCTTATTAGTAAACGCATCATTAAACAAAAATGTAAAAATGTCTTTTCCCACAAATTCTGATAACCACATTTCTTTTTTTTCAGTCTGTCTCGAGTGTGTAAATGACAGGTTTTCTCAACTAGTACCTGAGCTATATTCTCATTCATGAGCATTTCTTTCTTTTTTTATTCATTAGTTTTTGCTCATGCTATAGTATACAAATAACAGCACAAGAAATGCACATCATTTAAAATATCCATGCAACTTCCATATAAATCCCTTCCCGTACATTTTCTTTTCTTTTCTTTCCTTTACCCCCCCCCCCTCCATTATTTTGTCACTTTCCAAACCACAGGGCAGGCGGAGGGAAAGGGGTGGTCCAGCAGCCGCGCAGTGGGGAACACCTGGACCCAGACAACCGCGCAAAGTTGTTCTTTGATTACGGGGACTTTTTGTCCTCGCTTAATGGGTGTTATGGTACGGGACTTGCCTCTCTAGTTAGTCTCTGTTCTAGACTGGATTTGGATTTTGTTAACCCTGGCGCAGCCAGTTGCAGTTTTGGGAATATTGGCGCTTGGTACCTGATAAATTCCAGGCATATGTCAGGAATGCTGTAGTCAAGCCTACACGCATGCCTGAGGTATGCTTGGAATATCTTGGGTCAGGGTGCCAACTGCCAAAGTTCCCAATCTTGGATATGATATTCATCGTTTTGATATAGCCTTCTCTGCTGCCCCGATGGCTTGACCACGCTTGCCAGGGAATGGGAGCAGATGCACTCGGGGAACAAAAATTAAATGGAACTGTTTACCCGGCAGTATCTAGTGGAACATGATTTGGGGAAAAATGGAAAGGAAAAGTATATTCAGGGGGGAAAAAAAACACATCTAGAAAACCTTTCATAATGAGCAAGCTATGTCGTGTGTTTAACTGACTATTAACAACATCCAAAAACAGTGATGACAAATTCCAATCAAAGTTTTACAAATCTGATTTTCCCCAAGATATCTTTAAAGAGCGTCTTTCATTGTCAATTGGGTCATTCTATACATTAGGGTCCACAGTCTTCCTGTCCCTGTCACATCTGATGTCTGTGATTTTCTAATTTTGGATGCAATCCTTAATGCCGTCATCCCCAAAGAGAGTGATTATGAATAGCAAACAATGTGGGGGGAAGTACCCAACAAATACAAATATTGTTTGAAGTCATTCTTTATGATACTTGAATGGCAAATTACAAAGTACTAAAGTATTAAACACGGACAGGAAAAAATCCTCTAAATTCAAGTGGACCACTTGAATTTTTTAATGACTGCACTTGCATGCTAACATCATTAACCTACATTGTACATGTACTGGTATGTGTTTACAATAGGTACTTGGGCACTGTAGTTAGTATCACCGGAAACAGAATGGTAGTTTAGCGTGTGTATTCCGTGAGCAAATATAATATTTAACAGAGTGCTGTGCTGTATTTAACTGTTCCGTACGTCCAGTGTATTTCAGTTGAATGTAGAAACTAAATCTCACAATCCCATTTTTTTTTATCAGTGAAGGAAACGTTGAATACCTTGTGCAGAACATGAGCAGTTAAAAACTGGACACAGCATTTGTTTTGATTAATTGATTTCCTTATCGGTGAAACTTTTGTATAAAATGTATACAGCCACAATCATGGGTACATTTTATTAACAATTTGTTTATAGTTCAATTACACATTTTCCATACATGCATTTCAAGTAACAAAGATCAGTCACATTAATAAGTGCTAAAACATTTCCCATGCTTTCATGAAAAAAAAAGCAAAAATAACAAAAAAAGATACCAAGATTTAATGTTAGCAAAGGTGAAGTGTTGAACTGTGTCATTTAACTCACATGTTGTGACAACAGAACTGCTGCATCACAATATATGTACGTGTAATTTTGCCACAACTTGGAGAAGAATATGGAGCCAATACCCTTGCATTTCATTTAATGTGTGGCATTATCATTATTATTATTATAATTTATTTCTAGTAATGAAACCAAGGATTCCTCAAAAGGGCTCTACAGGCACTGTAGCTCGCAAGCCTGAAGAAACCCATAGACAGTGAGAAGAAATGATAGTTTAAGAGGTGGGAGGAAAAGCCCAGAAGAATATTCTGGGGAAAACCCACGGAATCAGGTAGGGACTGAAAACCCAATCCACATATTGACCCAGGCGGGATTCGAACCCGGGACACAGCGGTGGAAGGTGAGGAAGGTACCGCTACGCCAACCTAACTCCCATGCAAAACATAATGTGGTTTGCAGGAATAGTTTAACACTTTGTGACACACCAAATTAAGAATAGCATAAAAAAAATCTTGTTAAGGTTACTATCTTTGTGATGGAAGCTTTACCCATGATTGTGGTTGCATTTAATGTAGAGTAGATTGCAATCATGTCTAACATTTCTTGTGTTGTTTGTCCCTTTCTCTCGTATTTTCTCATCTCTCCTGTCTCTATTGTTCATTTCCTCCTCTCTGATCCTACTCACGATCCTTGAATATCTACTGATCTTTCCCACTCCTTTGTCTTCTTGTCTCCCCTTCTCCTAAACCCAAGGGTTGGTGGTGGCGTTAGTGTTGTCTGTGAGCCAAGGGAGCGGTTGTCTTTGCTCTCTGACCTCCGTGCTTCGCTCATGGCCGACTGCGGCTGCTTTCTGTCTGACCTCAATGGATGCCTTGGTAATCTGACTGCCAATACGGACACAATTGGAGGGCGCTAGTTTGGTTTTGGGTAAATTTGTATACATATACAAAAGCTGTGAGCAAGTTCAGGCGTGGACTATTATACAAATACAACATGGTTTGTCGGGAAATAGTGAAAACTAATGACCCCGAGGCGTTGGATGATTGGGACTATCTCCCGAGGCGAAGCCGAGGGTGATAGTCCCAATTATCCAACACCGAGGGATCATTTGTTTTCACTATTTCATCTGCCCCTGAGCATTAAACTGAGGTCTTGCCTCGATTACAGATCGCCAGGCAAATGATTCGAATTCCAGCACAGCTGACGGGTTAAGACGTCAGGATTGCCTCGACTCGCCTCTGGGTGACGTCTAAACTTGCTATTCCTTTTGTACACACACACAAAGTCCATGTAGTCTGTGGAGGCGGATCGTGTGCTAACTGTTGTGTGGGCTGTTGTGCATTGTTGTACAATTTACACTCCAGTGCACACCAGGAGTATTGAAACATGACGTTTCGGCAAGAAATATCGTACAAATACTGTTGAAATCACTCTTGCGAATCAGTATTTGTGGTGTTTTGCTGTATATCAGAAGTTGGCTGGAAAATTTTGCCTTTAGAAAATTTCGAAATTCAAGTTTTTCGGCAAAAGTAAACCTGGCGCGAAGTGGTTAAATGAAGTTTGACAAGAGCATTCCCTTGTTATTGTTCATCACCTGTTACTTGTGCCATGGACTTCACACTGGACTTGTGAAAGGACTTGTGATTTAGTTTGACAGGATTTGTGATGGGCTCGACTACATGTACAACACTGTACAAAAGAGTGTACTCAAACCAAGTAGCGCACTGCTATTGTGTCCACCATATCTAAAACAAAAAGGCTAATCTTTTCTTTTGTGTGTGTGTGTGTGTGTGTGGAGATTACAGTTTCCCCTTCTCTTTGAAAGATATACATATCTGGGATAATGAACTCTTGACTATCTGATATCATTTTATAACACAAGTTCGAAGTTGGTTGCAAATAATGACATTTTTTTATCAAAATGTGAAACAAAACTTTCAGTCGAAAGCTTAAGAATTTAAAGTGCATGAGCATCTATACTGTGCATGATTAAATGGTTTATATAATACTGTGTTAGCCAGCACTATACAGGGTGAGTCTAAAAAAGCGGAACCCAAACCGTCAAAAATATATTTCATATTTAAAAAAATAAATAGCACCAAAAATAATAATGACTGGAAAGCCAATTTCAAAAGCTACTTTTTAGATGAAAAAATTACTGAAATTGCTCAATCCGTTCAAAGAATACCACCACTTAAACGCAATGACCCTAAAACCTGTCTCGTCCAAAAAAATCAATTTATTGTGTGTTTTTGACTGTTTGGAACAACAAAGAAAATGACCCAGAATACTTGTTTCAACAACTGTCACTAACTGTAGCACACAATATTTTGATTAACAACCCTGGTTAGGCAAACAATATGATTTATAAAATCTACTTTTTCAAAAGACGGGCCTTCAAAAGGACTTTGTTGCATATTGTTAATGTTTAAACTAAGATTTCATCGCTGGTGATGTTTGAAGACAATTGTGACGACGATTGTTGAAATCGCATTTTTTTGGACAAGACAGGTTTTAGGGTCATTGTGTTTAAATGGTGATATTTTTCGAATGGATTGACCAATTTCAGCAATTTTTCCATCCAAAAGTAGCTTATGAAATTGGCTTTCCGGTCATTATTATTTTTGGTGCTACATATTTTTTTAAATATGAAATATAATTTTTGGGGTTTGGGTTCCGCTTTTTTTGACTCGCCCTGTATATGCATGCAGTGTACAGACTGCCCATGTACTAATCATTGCTTGTTGCATTAATTATGCATGTTAGAGGAGTTATATCACGCACTCGTCCCTACGGACTCACTTGTTGTATGGCATTACAATCCTTCAATACGATCATATGTTAGCTGACACATTATGGCATAGTAATATGCATGGTAATTCATATGGCATTTAAACAAAAAATTTATCATAGTGAACAAAACTCACTCAGTTCACTTATTAGAAACTGCATAGTTCAAATGTCAGTGGTTTTTTTTTAATTCAATGTTAGGTTTTGTCCTTCACCGAGGTAACTTTTAAAGACACTGTTTGCTCAATTTTGTCCAGGGGCTTGTGAGAAAAGAATTCACTGGGTTACTCGGGTGGGACTCGAACCCACAACCTCCTGCTTACTCGACCACCAAGCTTGCCGGGGTAGGCTGGCTGGTTTTGCATCTCGCTGATGAAATATTCCAGTTGTCTTAAATTTCCATTGCCCAAGAGATTGTGATCATTGGGTTTCTTGTCAAATAGAGAAGTTTTTGTCAGCAAAAAAATGAATTTTTTTTCAAGGTCAAGTACTGAATTTGTACTACAATGCACCAACTGCTCTCTCTAACATGCTAAACAAAAAACTACTCCTTACGTTTTCTTTAACCCTTTGGTGCACAGGGCGTTCGCTAGCAACTGCCTAAGATACATTATAATCTATGCACTAATCCAAACAATCTGTGCATTGAAGCGCATTACAAGAATGGTTATAATTTTAAAAAATCTTTATTTCAGTGGCTGCTGAGGACGTGGGTTTGAATGTAATAGATTTGGACAACGTTCACATGTTCTCTCGCTACACAACGTGTATCTCTGAAGACAAGGGGGGCTCCGGTAATCCTTCGGTTGCAACTGGGAAAGGTGAGGATTTCTTTTTGTTTGTTTTTTGTTTTGTTTTTTATTCCAGTCACAAACAGACAGATTAATGAGATTTTTGGCTTAACATTGGTGGAGAATATATTTGTGGAGCGCTGTGGTTCAGTGGTTGTGGGCTCCGTGCATAAGTACCCCCCTCAACGGAAGGAACGGGAGAGTTGGGGAGACCCCTGGAAGAGACATTGGAACGCACTGCCAAAGACGCCTGATGCTCTCGTGACGACGCAATGGCTTAGTGCGCATTCGGAATATAATTAGTCATGCGTACTTTGCGCCATACACGCTTGAACAGACACTCTTGCTTTACTATACTCTCAAGGACAATGCTTTGTTTTCCCCTTTGTTCGCTGTAATATAACACTCTCCGAAAGACTAAGCACACAAACTTACTACAGCTGTATGCTGAGGACCGTTTCCAACAAAAGACCCAACTCCCGAGGACTGAAAGGATCTGTTGTTCTCCCTTTGTGTGTCGGTCCTCGGGGGTTATGTAGAACACGCAGCAGTACGTGCACTCAGTGTGTCCCATCCGCGGGGCTGTCGAATGTAATCATGTCCCCATTCACAGCTCGAAATGATTGAAGATTCAATTTTCATGACATGATACTGGTTAGTTTCCGACCTATTTGACATTTTTAAGTACATGAAGCCTGATTTGAGTTGTGTAATTGTTGTCCCCTTTACAGGTGTAATATGTGCAATGGAAGGTGCCTTGGATTTCTTGCACATGGGTACACTGGAGGGCAAGAGGATTGGAATCCAGGGGGCAGGCAATGTCTGTAAGTTCTTGTGTTTTTAAAAACATCTTTTATCCCAACCCCCTTGGATACTTAACTTAGGCCAAAAAAAGTACTCCTGCTTCTGATTACATGGCATTTGAAAATAGGGTAGCTAGGTAGGGATTTTTTTATTTTGGCCAATTTGTTGTTGTGTACAATCATATGGAGGCGTCTGTGTGTAGTCAAGGGTAAAAAGTAAAAATTTGTGGTTTGGGGTGTTTTTTCCCCTCATTTTTCCCATAAAAAAATTAGGGTAGGGGCTGTCAAAATAGGGTAGGTAGGGGAACCAGAATCAGAATTTTGGGGGGGGCCTTATGGTAATCTCTACACCCAAACTGTTGGACTCAGATAATGGTAGCATGCCAGACCCCGTGTAAAACATCAGTGCAGTACTCACTCCAACAGATTCCAGATTTTGATGGGTTTGGGGGGGTTAGGGTTAAAATGGGTTTGGGGCCTGGCCGCCGATAATGGCCCTAGCCAAAGGCGAGGGCTATTATCGGCGATCAGGCTCATAACCGGCGATCAGGCTCATAACCGGTCTTAAACATCATGTATAACTTACTGCTTCATTACACCATTATCCCCATTCATGATACCTTTTTGGTTATAAAAATAAAAGTAAAAAGGCAAAAAGTTGACTAAAGTTCCAATTATTTTGATCTACAATCTCACTTCATGAGCGGATTTCATCTTTGGTGCGCACGGCATGCGTGGTGTGCTAAGCGGCTATCAAGCCAGCTGAGTGAGTGGGGTGTACTGCGTGCATGTAGCACTGGGCTCGAAACCAGTTTTAAACATTACTGTTTAACGAAGGTTAAAACCACCCACACGATGGGCTCTCGACCAATAGGAATAGGTTAACTGTCGCAGATATACATGAATAAGCAATATAGATAATTTTCATTATTAACTTTATTGGGGGGGGGTTTGGTAATTGTTCAACAACAAATTTGACAATCAGATATTCCATTACGAAGCAGAATATTCTATTTGGAACAAGAAGGTTTTGGGTTTTAAGACCTGTTAGACCAAGGCATGCTTACTACTAGGAACCTACCTGAATCCTCCCAAATCCAACAACATGTGGAAAACCAATGGCACTCATTTTTGTAATGAATTTTTCAAGGGGAATCAACTCAAGCCCCTTTTAAAGTAACTGTCGATGGGCTCTACCTTCCTCAATCCTACAAAATCCTCCTCAGTGCTGAAACCCAGTGGCAGACTCTTTGTACAGTACATCTACCAAGTTTCTTTCAAGGGGCATTAAGCCCAATGTGTAGTAACAGTGGCGTGGCTCTTCCTTCCTCTATCCTTCAAAATCCTCCAAAAGCTGGTGGATTCTGATGGATTTTGAAGGATCTAGGAAGATAAGTATTAATCCTCTCCTCCATTTTACCCTGTCTACCAGCCACCATTGTCGTTGAGGAGCTTCTGAAGAAGAACGTCTCCCACATCTACGTGACAGACTGCCACATGAACAGGGTGACAGACATGAGGAATCGCTTCCCTGGGGTGAGAAGACCGTTCTGTGTTGCATTGGAATCCACCATAAGTCTATGCAAGTCAATCACAAGTCAATCACAAGTCAATCACAAGTCAATCAGTCCAAAGGCATTCCTTTGTTATTCCTCTGTTACTTGTGACCGGACTTGTCATGGACTAAACTACAGTGTTGTAGTTGAGTACTTTTTTCCAAGTACCGAGTACTGCCGAGTACTTAGGTTACCGAGTACTGCCGAGTACTTAGGTTGCCGAGTACGAGTACTTGTACTTGCACCTCCGAGTACAAGAACAGGTCTCTGAGTATGAGTGCTTGTACTTACGAGTACGAGTACGAGTACGAGTAATGTTCTTCAGAGTACGAGTACAAGTACTTGTATTTCCGAATACGGCCATACGGCAAATGGTTCATTGTGCATAATTGGCCCAGGCCCAGTCAGACCACTATACAGAACTCACGGCTAGCTGTGTGTTTGTTCAGACGCATAGCTGCCAACTGTTACGAATTTTTCGTAATTATTACGAATTGTTTGTTAAATTACGAAAATACGATTTGCCACTAAAATATTACGAATTTCCCATTTTCTACATAACGAAAAAAAAATACTTGTAAAGTATCGTTTTTGACCGAAAACTTCTGGCGAAATGTCGCGATAATGGATGGACTAGTGACAAGTCTAATAAGAATGCAGTCAAGCACCTGATAGACATCAATGCAGTGTGCGCAGTGGAGTACTTGAGGACCAGACTAAAACTATTTTTCAATGGTGTGTCATTTGTGTGCATCTCGTGGATGTGTGGTTGTGTGTACTGTGTGTGAGTGCTTTTCAGTGACGATCGTGAGCACATTTGGTCGCTTATTGCCGGGATGAGACCCATCAGTGCGAGATTTTAATCATGGAATTTAATAAGAGTATGGTTGGAATAATTGGTAATAGAGTTTGAGTTTGTCACAACATCCAGAAAAGATAAATCAGCATGCGTTTGCAAGGTATGTTGGCGGGATATTTCTATTGCATACGGTGGCCCTAAATCATTGTGTGTAAATACATTGATGATACGAACTCGAAACTCCACATCGATAGCATGCATCTCAAACAAAATATGCGCACATGTTATTGTTGTTATTATTTATTTGACTTCAACAAACAAAAACAGACATTAAAACAAAATTAATTTAAAAAAAAAAAATATTATTTTTTTTTTTTTTTTTTTTTTTTTAAATTATCTTTTGGCCTACAGTACATTATTATTCACAAAAAGAAGGGGTATGCACATGTATGTGTACATGTAAACCATGTACCTGTACTCGATGTTTGTAAAGCTTTTGATAAAACGAGCAGTTGAAAATGACCGCGCGGGTTGATTACTAATTGGGATTTTGAAAAGTTGGCAGCTATGCAGACGTGCACAGAGGAAAATCAGGAAACTTTGATTTCTCCACAAGCCAATCAACCATCTCAAACTGAAAGTATCGATAAAATAAGTCCGTGGTATATAGTCAAGCTACACCATTTCCCCCCGAGTACTGCTGTTTGAGTACGAGTACTTTGATGATCGAGTACAATTTCGACATGTCGAGTACAAGTACTTTGACATTCGAGTACGAGTACGAGTACTTCAAAAAAAGTACTCGAGTACCGAGTACGAGTACTACAATTAATTTGTTGCCTGAGTTCTGCACGTGCCGTAAATTACGCATCGTTTCATGAAATCGGCTGCAGGATTAATAACGTATTGCTAAATATCATGCACATCTTCTCAGAATCAAACCTCTCAGATTTAGTCCTTCACATTTGGTCTAATGCTGATACTGGCTTTTGCCAGTTTTAGTAGGGTGTAGAGGGCTTTTAAATGCTAATGTTTGTATCTTTTTGTATCTTTTGGTTGTGATCAGGTGACTGATATTCTGCAGGTTGAGAAAGTTCCCCTGGACGATAACGGAGTACTAGCCTATCCCTGTGACATCATATCTCCCTGTGCACTGGGCAATGTACGTAGAAAACCTAGTTCCTGCCCCTCCCCCCTCTAACAACCCCTCCCCTCAAAATCTGTTGTGCAACTCACATCAGTTGTCTTCTACCCTTTGATTCATAGACTATGCAGAAGTACAGAGCTTTAGTAGTGAAGAGGCAAAGTTAAGGTTGGTTCGTACTTCGCGCGAAAAGCAGAAGCAAAGTTAATTTTGTGACGCCACCAATCAAACTCTCATGAGATGGAATATGCGTTGGAGATATGTAAAGTATGTAAATTCTACATTGGTTTTTGCCCCTGGCCGACATGGCAAAGCCCAATATAAAAATGTAAGTTTCACTGTTGCATTCACCGTGACCGTAATAAATTTATGGAGTGTCATGGCCTAGCGGTTAAGAGCACTGGACTCATGTTCGGGTGTTTCAGAGGCAACAGTGACGTGGGTTCGAGCCCGCCGGCGGACACTTGTGCTCTTAAGCAAGGCACTTAAACCATTATTGCTTTGTCCTTCGGATGGAACGTAAAGCCATAGGTTCCGTGTGTTGTGTGAAAAAAAAACAGTAAACACTTATCGCTAAGAGAAGGGGTTTGCCCCGGTGTTTCTGGCCTCCTGTATAACTCCCACATGAAGTATTTAGGAGAAGAACCAACCAAGAACCATTTGCCTCGTATTGATGTTAGTGTGTAGTATGAACCGGGCCTTACTGGTAATGACAGATTCTTTCAAACTGCTGTTGAGCAATAAGCCGCGTCCGAAATAACTTGGCTACGGCTCAAATTTGCACACACACCTATGGAAGCGGCTGCAGCTACTGCCGTTAGACCCGTGTGTTATATCTAGCCACAGCCACGCGATTTGGATGTGGCCTTACTCTCCGTGTAACACTCACTGTAATGATGCTCAAAGTCATTCACTTCCAATCTTTTACCCACAGATTCTGAATGCAGATACCATCCCTACCATTAATGCCAAGATAGTATGCGGTGCAGCTAACAACCAGCTAGGCTCTCCTGAAGATAATCTGCTTCTAAAAGAGCGAGGAATCACATACATCGTCGACTATTTGGCCAACAGAATGGTACGAGGGGTGATTGATAAGTTTGTGGCTTAAGGTCGAAAGAGATGAGCTATAGAGTTTTGACTGATATTGTGTGCCGTTCAACTTGTTGAATGATTGCACAGAAAGTTTGAAGTTATTATCTTTTTGTTTTGTTTTTCTGTTACAGATAAACAGTCACTTAACAGTCACTGGTTCCTGAGAATTAAACCTTGAAAATGGAAAAAAATTGAAATAAATGTATTTGATCGAACCAAAACAAATTGAACGAACGAAATAAAAAATGGCAACATTGTCCCTTCAAAGGTTGTTCCAAGTCCGTTTCTGATCAGGTCCAAGGAGCTTCGGGACCCAGCAAGCGTGGACGTTTGGACACAATGGCTGATTTTCCCCCCATTTTTTCCATTTTCTGTATTAATCAAATCTATCAATCTAATCTATTTTTTCGAAGATTTCTATCTAATCTATTTATTTGGCTGAATTTGTCACCTTCAGGGTATTGTGAACTGTGCCAATGAAACCTACGGAAGGCTTCCGGATGATCCGGCCATTAACAGGCACTTTGGTCGGGAATGGGACAATTCTGTAAGTATCAACTTGACATAAACTTGGATTTTATTTTAAACTGAAGCGCAAACAAGACAATATAAATCTTGTGCGTATAAATCATAGTGCATTTATCAATGCAGATATGGGCTCCGTGTGCCAACACGTGTGATGGGCTCCACTGCAACACCGCTGCAAAACGTCCTCACCTTATGGCCCCGAGATGTGAATCTTCCAATCTTTACCTAAATCTTACAGAACAGAACAACATTGTCTAAAACTAGCGTTATTCAACGTGGTACATCATACTGGAATAGTCTAGATGACTTCTTAAAATCATCACCCTCCTTCTCTGTCTTTGTTAAAAACCTTAGATCACATCTACTCAATTCCTATTAGAACAACTAGTTATAAATAATTTATGAATGTAGACGATTATGCTCTCGTATCATACCAGTTTGTGTTTTTTCTACTTTTGTTCGAATAACTAGTTATAATTTATGAATCTAGATGTATGCCCTCGTCTCATACCAGTTTGCGTTTTTCTAGGTTGTATCTTTGTGTGTCTCACTGTTGTCCATTTTGTCCTTTGTCACTGTCTCTGTTTTTCTCGGTCATGTCCACTTGTCTGTCGAAAGGTTAGGGTACAAAAGCATGACGCTTCACCTTATACCTAAATGTTGTCATACATTTTTTTTAGTATTGATCCATGTACATTATTATTCACAATTACATAATTCATTGCATTTTGCTCTGTATAATATGTTTACACGGAATTGTAACATTTTATTGTGTGGAAATGGCAACATTGAAATAAATGTTTATCATACACCCATCAGATCTTTCTGATGACCAAAAAGATGCTGAAGAAAGCCCAGTCCGAGGACATCACTCCAGTCGAGGCAGCCAACGCCATCGCAGACAAACTCAGTCTGGAGCTGCATCCAATATGGCCGCAGCGTAGCCAGCAAATCATTCAGGCACTCGTGGACAACAACTGGCACCTTGGGTAAACATAATGGCTTAAAACTGTGTCATTAAACCTAACCCCCTAGTACTTCCTCAGGACTACCTTGCTAAATCCAACAGAGTCCAGCAGACTTTCCTGTTCAGTCCACTGTGCCTCATTTTCAGTTGTCTGCTGAATCCAACGGAGTCCAACAATGCGTTATAATGCGGTTCAGTTGCCTGCTGAATCTAACATTTTGCATGAGGAATGTACACAAGGGGTTAACTGCTCAATCCAACAGGCTCCATCGGGTATGTGACATAGTTGGATCCTGTTGGATTCAGCAGGGTTACGCTAACCGTCTATATTTTATAAATGTATTATTGTTACTTAAGTTTCTATGAATTCTGTTGTAATCCTTAAGGACCAGGTACTCTACACGAATTCTCAGTAATATCTTGGTGTCGACAATCAATCCTACCTCTGTGTGAAATGTTCTTTGTTGCAAGTGTGCCCTATTAAGCATTTGGATTTGGGGATTTAGGATGGTCAGGGTTAAGGAAGATACTGAACTTATTGATATATGGGCATAAATGTTACTGTATCAGTTTAAAGGAAATCAGTTGCTGATTATTTTGTATTTATAAATACCTGAGACAGTTACCCATTCCTATTGGTTGAGAGCCCGTCACATGGGTTGTTTAAATTGCCGGTAAAACACCACTGCGTTCTGCGCCACATCGCACCTACTCGCCGCACACACGGAATTTGTAGGCCACTCTTTCGTCCGCCATCTTGTTTTGAACACATTGCCTATGGCAAGCCGATCAAAGTTTCCTGTTGAAATGGAAATGCAGTTACAAATTTTTTATTTGTCATATATATATTTGCATCGTATTCTAAAATCAGTTTTACGAAAAATTGCAATATCATATCAACTTTCAAAGAGTGAATAATATTTCATGATCTGAAATTTTTAGTCCGTACAAGTAAGGAATTAAGTATGAAGGACCCCTATGTATTCAGCGGGTCAAAATATGTGTTCAGACGCCACTTTCTGAAGTATTTTATCCCCACCAGTCAAAGACAACTTGTAATAAAAAAAAAAGACAGAATTTTTATTTGGCAGTATTTTGCAATGCCACGTACGTGTTCTAAACACTGAACTGTTTATCTTTTTAAGTGTTGCTTGGTGTACATTTGTTGTAAATAATAACATGGCATATTTTTGTAGAGGCAGGTTATTTCCAAACAATTTAGACTTTTAATGCTAATAATGTATCCGTGAAGAAAGGCTTTGTTAGTTACCAAAACTTTCATAGTTCAGCCATGTGGTTGCGAACGCCAAAGCATGCCGGTTGTCCTGCAAAGCTAATCTGATTAAGTACTTAGATGCTGTAACAGAGTAGTGAAATTCGTGAACCCCAAAAAACATGGCCTTGTGAACATTGTGTTTCTCAGAAAATATGCTCAGTATGATTGAAATGTTAACTTATAACGGCAGAGGAAATTCTAAACTTCATGTCAGTGAAAAAATCGCCGTCATCAATGCTGAAACGTCAATACTAGTTACTGGTATAGCTGACCTTCAAGTCTGGAAGAAATCGTTCGAAAATTTTTCAAAATCTATGTATTTATCTCAAGTTCTAGGAATCTACTCAAGTTGTTATTTCACGAGTAGTTGAACACTTATACATGTATCATCTAAGTATATTCCAAATTTCAGCTTAATCTGTTGTTGCAAACGCTAGTGTTACACCTTGAACTATCTCCAAGGAAATTTTCGATGAGGATTTTTTGCTGAACCAACTGCACATGCATGGTTTACAGCGAAGATTCTATAGCGCTGTAGGTACTGTGGTTGACCGATTTCGGCCTGGCAACACAATGACGCATATTCATATTCATGACGCATACACAATATTAGCATATTCATTAGCGTCACTGAATGTGACTTGGCATGGGTCTCGGTATCGACCAATGGAAGCCGGCAAAAAGGGTGAAGTTTATTAATTAAGAACTCATTAAGGAGGCTTTTATGCAAATTTTTACTGCACACCATAATGGATAGGAACCTTATTAATATTTGTGAGGCTTGGAAAGATTGACAGATATTGCAAACACCAGTGTTTCAACTTTTAAATTAATGCACGTAGACAGGCCTATTTTTCCAAATTCAATGAAAAGAATGAACATATTACAACGATTTTTAGCACATACTTGGATCATTATAAGGGAAATAAACCCTTAAAGTTGCAAGAAGATACGGTCTGCCAAACAGGAGAAATTAATTTTCAAAGATTTTACCTGCCAACGTGAACATGTCTGTGTGCATGTAGTTTCATTCAAAATAAAGTGTTACGTAACTTTAGAAATCGCCCTTCGCAACCACACGGCTGAGTTACAAGTACATGTATAGCAATGTATCTCTGAAATGGTGGTTTTCCTATCTGAGACTTGCTTAATGTGTTAATCACGAGCCATCTAGTAACCGTTAATCATGAATACTGTAAGCATAAAAAGCCAAATTCAGAAACTTAGAGGAACCATCCTTAAAATAAAAAATTTCCAAAATTGGTATCTCGCTTTGCCAAGTTACTATCTCGCTGCGGCAAAAATATCATCATTGCAAGTTACTATCTCACCACGGCAAGTTAGTATCTCGCAGTGGCAAGTTACTATCTCGCTGCGGCAAGTTTCAATCTCACCACGGCAAATTACTATCTCGCTGCAGCAACTTGCTATTTTGCTGACTCCGTGGCAAGTTACTATCTAGCCGTGGCAAGTTACAATCACGAGAGATAGTAACTCTTGAGAAAGTAAGTCGTGAGATGCCATTTTGGAATTTTTTTTATTGCCTGTGGTCCTTCTAAGCCTCCCTTACTAATGGTTTTGCTGTATAAAGTAGGTTAGACGTTTGTAGATAGTGCTAGATAGAAAAAGGGAGTTTAGTTAATTTTGCTGTTTGGGGCAACAGTAGAGAGCTAGCATGGGGTACTTTCATGAAGTTGCAAAGGACAGAACTATTGGTTACTACCCAAATGGAGTGTAATTGGTGACTTGCTCTTAGCTAATTTTTGCTCAGCACATGAAGTTGTTGAGCCTGAATAAAATCCTCGTCATCTGATTGGTAGGTTGTTGATCATATGTCGTTAAATGAATTGTCCCAACCAATGGCCTGGCTGCACCGCAAAAATAGAAGTTCTATTCCACGGTAGATAGAAGTTCCAATGCACATCACACTACTGGTTGCTCTGACCAATCAGATGACAAGGATTTATTCAGGTGTTGTGTAAAACAAATGAATGTTTCACGTTCGTTCAGTGGAAAGAATAATTCGATGAAAAATGGAATGTTCCATTCCACACGTGGCGAAGAATGGATCATTCCATCTGTTACTGAATGAAATTATTCTTACCATTGCACTCATAAACATTCAATATTTCTATATATTGGCACCTCCACGAACTCTGGCCGTTTCAGCATGCTGTACTGTGAAAGCAGTACATGAAATGGAAGTTCTAGATGATTGATTGAACTATTGGGTATAAGTTTGGTTTGGTACTCATAAGGATGAATGCATATTTAATTAAACTTTGCTTTGCTTGACGCAACCATAGCATAACATTATTTAAGTTTATAGTTTATAGTTTGCTTCTGCATAAGTTTTACGAATTGTTTTACCCTTAATCCTACCTCATCTTTTTACATCATTTCAGTTGATCTCTGGAAGATTCTCTCACCCTTTAGTGTTTCTCATATCTCTGAAAATGGGTAGTAGGCGTGTGCAATTGTTTCTCTCAATTCTTTATCCATACTTTTCTGTGTTTGTGTTTTGGCCAGAAAAACAATCACCTTTGAAAATGACTTCCGTGCAAACATCAATAAAAAAAAATACTGACAATGCAATTTCATGCTTTGAAAAGTAAAATACATGTATTTGTTCATTTTAGTATTTAAATACTAAAGAAACGGTTTTCCTTTATTAGTTGCGGGATTTAAATCTAGATTTTTTTAAATTCGGTTTGAATTGCATTATTCGGTCTTGATTTTGGCAACTGGATATTCAAAACCAACCTTTAAAAATAATTAAGTCTTCCATTTTTGTGTGACACAGGCTAAAGAAAACTGGAAGATTCCTCGATTTGCTGTAACTGCATTCACTTGCTAGTGGTCTTCTTGGTACAATGTATATGAAGAGCCTGCCCATTCGACTTCTCAGAGAGTCGACCCATTTTGTCAATATTACAACTCAAGTGTTTTGTAAAGGCAGAATGATCATCGGATCCTGCAAACAATACCCAATCACTGGGAGGGCATTGCATGTGACACCTCACTCCTCACTTCTTTTTTGGCACGAATGTGAGGTGGATGGGAACTTCCAGTGAAATCGGATAACCGTTATTTGGTATACAAAAATTATGATAACCAGATTTTGAAATCTCTGATTTCTCCCATCGCTAAAATTATCCAAGGACTGTGTACATGTACACATTATGCTGAGTCCAGTGTTCTTACCTAAAGAAAACTTATATCACCCATTGCATTGGAACAGGCTCTAGTTTTTTTTTATTGTTTTATCCCAGCATACCTAGAAATTAGTTATTTTTAAAGTCTGTATCATAACTGATGGAACGTTTACAAACATGTAGTCGGATTTCTTTAGTGGTGTATACATGTACATGTAGTATGAACAGTCGGTGACGCTGTGTAATCCAATGCACATGTGGCATGTGTGGTATATCAATGCAACTGATATGAAATTTTTCAAGCGTGAGATATTTCATTTCTTTCTTTACTTTCAAAGTACATTGTATTCTTTATCTGTTTGTACCAATGTCTTTTTAAAGATGTTTTTAGATTTTTAGTTTACAGAAAAACTTGAAGATATACGAATTAATGGCACCAAACAATTGCCAAAAAATCCTAATCATCATGTAGTTATTTATTTTTGTCATGTGCTTATCTTCTTGGTTTTAATAATGTGACGGTTGATTTAAACAGAATAAATTAAAGGACGTTTGATTTCAAACTGATTGCACTTTTTAATTGTTCCATTTTACTGTGATTCCAGTTCTTTACCAAAATGTTTTGAGTTGGAAAGCGCTGGGAGTGATTGAAAGAAGGAAAAAAACCTGTCATTACCGAAAAGAAAAGTTTTTCAATTTCCTACCAGAGGTTGGTGGATAGGACAGTTTTTGTCCGCCCTTGTAGACTTTATTCACGAGTCGGCCATATTCAATTGAAAGCGAAGTAAACTGTTCACTAGAAATGAAACCAATGAAACAAAAATTCATTACAAAGTACTTGTAATACCAGTCTGCTCTGATGAACAATTTAAGGTTGTGATTAAACATAACCTTATTTGTTTTAAGCCACATTCATAAATACCTCAGACAGTTTAGCCATTCCTATTGGTCGAGAGCCCGTCACGTGGCCGGTATTAAACGGATGATAAAGACATGGCTAGCTGGTCTTAAACACTTTTCCAGTGTCACAATAAAATGTGGACTCCTAAAAATCCAGTGCCTCTTATCGTTTAATTGGTTGAACGTTCACAATCCTCACGTAGGCATGCGCAACACTACCAGGGAGTTAGAATTTTATAGTTCTAAATTCAAAACGCAACGCGCCAGGTGCGTTCTGCGCGACATCGAATAGAACATGATACGCGCGCGTCAATCTCCATAAAAGGGTTGTTTTCATCTTACTCGCCAGCTGAACACTCCATTATTTTGCAGGAGGGATGATTCAAAAAGCATAAAGTGAATTTGTTGAACAAAATCGGGATGTTTTGCACGAATTATATGATTTTTTTTTACCGAAAAGGTATTTATGAATGGGAATAAATATGTACTCCGTCGGTATTTATCACTCTGTTTAATACCACTTAGAGTCTGGGTGCTGATAATTACCCTCGCCTCCGGCTCGGGTAATTATCAGCACCCAGACTCTAAGTGGTATTAAACAGAGTGATAAAAACCTCCGGAGCACACATTTATTCCCTTATTCATAAATACCTCAGACAGTTTAGCTATTCCTATTGGTCGAGAGCCCGTCACGTGGCCGGTATTAAACGGATGATAAAGACATGGCTAGCTGGTCTTAAACACTTTTCCAGTGTCACAATAAAATGTGGACTCCTAAAAATCCAGTGCCTCTTAACGTTTCATTGGTTGAACGTTCACAATCCTCACGTAGGCATGCGCAACACTACAAGCGAGTCAGAATTTTATAGTTCTAAATTCAAAACGCAACGCCCCAGGTGCGTTCTGCGTGACATCGCGCAGAACATGTTACGCGCGCGTCAATATCCATAAAAGGGTTGTTTACATCTTACTCGCCAGCTGGAACACTCCATTATTTTGCTAGAGGGATGTTTCAAAAAGCATGAAGTGAACTTGTTGAACAAATCGGGATTTTTTGAACGAATTATTTGAAATTTTTTTACGGATAAGGTATTTATGAATGGGAATAAATATGTGCTCGGTCGGTATTTATCACTCGTTTAATACCGCTTAGAGTCTGGGTGCTGATAATTACCCTCGCCTCCGGCTCGGGTAATTATCAGCACCCAGACTCTAAGCGGTATTAAACGAGTGATAAAAACCTCCGGAGCACACATTTATTCCCTTATTAAAAAAAATCCTTGAAAGTGAAGCTTGGAGCGCACTGCAATCATGAAATAGTCCGGCATCATCCCATTCAAATGTTTACAGCATAAAAACGATCGAGAATGGCTTCCTCGTTGTTAAGGTCTATTGAAACAACACACTACAGATGTATTTTCTCTTCTATATTATGCAGTATGCATTGTGATACCATGGTTATACCACAATATTAACGGACATTTTGTGCCTGGCCGCGCTGTTGACCAATCTGATCTCACCTAAATTTAGCTAAGGTCGTCAACATGTGCATATTTCCATTTGTAGGCAGCGGAGTCAGCACATGCATCATCCACGGTATTAGCCAGAAAGAAGATTGGGCCAAGTTTTGTTCCTTGAGGAACGCCACATTTCAGATGTTCCCAACTTGAGAGGGCTAATTGATAACGAACCCTCTGACGCCTACGAGAAAGGAAACTGATTATCCATGGCACAATTTCGGGTCTAGCTCCAAGGGAGATCAGTTTGGTCTCAGCAATTGTATATGATCAACACAATCGAATGCTTTGGGAAAACTCAGTCAACACTAAGGTACCAGTTGTTTTAGGTTGATTACTACCAAAGTTTAAAAAGAAAAGAAAAAACATTCAGCAGGTCAACTAAACAATGCGTTGTGGATGATCCACCAAGACTACCATATTGATGTTGATCAAGGTTCATACCTATATCATCAATTAACCATATTAGAAATAAATCCTGCGACAATTTTAGAAAGTTGTGATATAAGTGATATGGGCCTCAGTTTACCAGTTGATGCTGGGAGCTCTTTTGGAATTGGTGCTACAATCGCATCTTTCCAAACTTGTTGGCAACTCCTTCCCTAAGAGAAGAGTTAAAGATATCTGCTACTGGCAAACTTAATTCACATGCAAATTCCTTAATGATTTTATTAATGACCCCATAATTATAATTATGCTCGCCGGCAAGCTTAAGATAACAGTACCGTAGAGCTTTGGGGAAGTTAAAAAAAACAGCTTCGTCTGGCTTCCCTTACAGAAATGTCCCATGAGCATCCCATGGGATTCCCATGGGGTCCCATGGGATTCCCATGGGACCCCATAGGAAACCCATGGGGTCATCAAGAACACCATGTAAGTTAAAATGATCATCATGGGAAACCCATGGGAACACCATGGAGATTGCATGGACAACATGGGAACACCATGGGGATTTTACGAGCTCCATGGGAACACCATGGGGATTTTATGAGCTCCATGGGAACACCATGGGGATTTTACGGACACCATGGGAACACCATGGGGATTTTATAGACATCATGGGAACACCATGTGGAATTAATGAACACCATGGGAACATCATGGGAATTTATGGACACCATGGGAACTACATGGGAACCCCATGGCGATTTTATGGACACCATGGGAACACCATGGGGATTTTATGGACACCGTGGGAACACCATTGGGATTGTATGTCACCATGGGAACACCATGGGGATTTACTGGACACCATGGGAACATCATGGGGATTTTAGACACATGGGTACACCATGAGGATATGGGGATTTTAGACACATGGATACACCATGAGGATTCGGACGCCATGGGAACACCATAATGTGGGTGATATAAATTATGGATACAATGGGAACACCATGGAGATTTAAAAGGCAGCACGGGGACACTGCCGGGTTATACTGGAGAACATGCATGTGCCATGAAAAACCATCATAGACCCAATTGCACTCCCAAGTTATAGGCAAACCTTTCTTTGATTTAATTACTTATTCGCCTAGCTGTAAATTTGAATTCAATTAAAAATATTTCCCTTGTGGCCATAGAGGTTATCAAGAATTCTATTTGTTAAGCTGACCATGGGAAACTCCTGTGGATGTTCACCAATTGAACACAATGGGATAAACACCATGGGACACCATGGGAACACCATGGGAACACCATGGGACACCATGGGACCACCATGGGACATTTTTGTGAGAATCTCTTACAATAACGAGTGTTGTAATTGCACATTTTTGAATTTTTCTGTTGATAAGTGAAGTTAAATGATGCATACAGTATTTTTTTATGTGGACAATGTGGCATTCAAACTTTGGATAATATTGATTCATTTGTTATTATGGTTGGAAACATTTAAGAGAAATAAATTGGGAACACTGTGATAATATGGTACAACTTGACAAGTGGTATGGGAGCAATAATGTGAACTTTATTCATAGAGTGCACAAGCCACTCCTATTACGTGTAACAACCCCCATCGGAGTACCGTGATGTGCTTTACCTATTTGGTGGATAGCACTTAACACACAGGGTTAAAATGTATACGACGTTGTTATTGAAAAATACCATGGAGCAATAATTTTTTTGAGAAATGAAAGGAAATCATACATGGGAAAAAGCCCATACAAAATTTTCCATGGGAAAAAGCCAATGGGAAAACTACCATGGGAAAAATCCCATGCTACATGGTGTCCAATTCACCATGCAATTCCCATGGGGTCCCATGGGAAAATTTCACATGGGAATTACATGGGACATTTCTGTAAGGGTTCTCTCGAGCACAATGATTTTAGAATCCCGACTTGTACCAACTTCACTTTTATAGCCTATTATTAGTCCATTCCCGCTATAGCTGGCCCTACTGAGACCCTACTGAGACGTATACACTCGACGTTCCGGTCAGTACTCTGACCATAAGTTCAGGACTCAGATCTGCCTAAATAAACTCCAAGAAAATGAGTACCAAATGCGACGAAGTGTGATGCCAAGTAGCTGGGAGCTTGGCCCAGAGCAAGCTTCCCACCGAAGTGGAACAGTAGGGGGCTGCAGTCTCAGTAGAGGGAGGACCTGTATGTATAGGAGACCCATCAGTCTTAGGCATTGATAGGACCTATAGGGTATAGGAGGGATCCACCTGAAATTCCCCAATATATATATATGATTCCCAATACCAAGTTGTATTATTGGGGATTATAGGTATGCACCCGGTATGTAAAGATACATCTAAAGAAATGCCCCGATCGACAAGTTTCAAGTTGGCCTTTTATTTCTCATTTTTTAGTTTTCTTTTTGGGACTTCATTCGGGGAAAAGCCAATACACGGGAAGTCGCGGTTTAAGGCTACCACGTGCGTCGGCGGAATGCCTAAGTAAAATGTGACGTCATTTAAATTCTCGGCATTTCTGCATGCAGTATGCGTTTCCGTATGGAACTGGTACCCAGCTATGTGAACATTCCACACAAAAGGTCGGGAACCAACGACGTGGGATTTCCATGCGTTGTGTACATGATGCTCGTATACTTAGCAAAATGTAATGTCATTATCATTCAACATGGCGGAAGGCGGTGGACCTCCCGAACTTCAAGAACAGAAGACTCAAATTTGTGAACTGCTGAAGACCCCTTTGAAAAAGGGGGATACGTGGTAAGGGCGAAGAGACATTGAAGAAAAGAAATGGTTATGAAAATTACCAGTCTGATATAAAATATGACATTTTACAGGAAAACGCCGGCATCGGTGCGTTTTCACTGGCAAGTGGCATGACTGGCATGACTGGTGCTGGTCGGAAACGCCGATGACACAATTAAATTGATAGTGATTAGTCATGTTACTAGTACTAGTAGATATTTAGCCGGACAATAAGCCAGCTAGATTTTTCTAACATTGTCTAAAGGGAAACAAAGTCCGACAGTCTGATTCCCATCTTGTGAAAACGAAGTCACAGCGACAACATTAGCACAGAATTTTACCCGTAAACCTAGTCCGAGTAACTTGGACCCAACTTATCGCCTTTTTAAAAATTTGGACATGGTCTGGCGACAGCTAGATTTTTCTAACATTGTCTAAAGGGAAACAAAGTCCGACAGTCTGATTCCCATCTTGTGAAAACGAAGTCACAGCGACAACATTGGCACAGAATTTTACCCGTAAACCTAGTCCGAGTAACTTGGACCCAACTTATCGCCTTTTTAAAAATTTGGACATGGTCTGGCGACAGACCATGTCCAAATTTTTAAAAAGGCGATAAGTTGGGTCCAAGTTACTCGGACTACCATAAACCTGGCTTTATACTACTCCTAGAACTATAGATGAAGAACCCCAAAAAATTGTTTGTAGCACAAAACACTTATTAAGTACAAAAACGTCCATCAAAATGCAGACATTTCCCACTGAACCGCTGCACAGTTTGCCCCTAAACTCCGTACTACACCTCATGACATACTCACGTAAAATGCGCAGAACAAACATCGCTGGATTTTGTCGGTTTTTTTTGCTAAAATGATGAAAAATATGCCCTTTGCGCACTGCACTGAGCCAACCTGACACTTGAAGCGTGCACGCATATGATCGAGCGATGATTTCCGGTTCGCTCGGAGCGCATCGCAGGGGGTACGGTAGGAGCGGAATGATAGTATGCGCATGCGTACAAGTGCTTGTAGTTGTACCGTACCCCCCGCATACGAACACACTTGTTCCACTTAAACCCGCTGTGTGGCTCTCTATACAGAGGAAGTCCAGTATTTGAGCCACATTGATGGGGCCAGTATAAAGGCAATGCACGCTAGGTCAAGAAAAGCCAACAAATTAAGTATATTTTAGGGTATGCTTGTGAAAAAATTGCTTGTAAGTGCATATGTCATGGATATATTACTAAGCAGTCAACATATTTGTTGGGCACGATCAGTGTATGTGCACTACTGCCCATTTGGTCTGCGCTAACGGTAACGGTTGATCGCACTGCGCTGTCGGTCAATCAAGCTGCCAGTGGTCAATTACACTGCCATCGGTTGATTACCATTTTCTTTCTAATCTATGACGCTTGAGAATTGTTTTGGAAAAGGGAAGTGAATTCTGAGATTTCCTGTAGGATCGACCGATCACGCAGACGCATTTCACCATTATACTTTATTATCATCCAGCATACCTTGTGTTGCCATAGCCTGTTGTTAAATAGTTGTAAATTTGTTAACTACATTGTTTTTCCACTTTGAACACAGGTACCTACTGGACAGCAAGTGGTTCAAACAATGGAAGAAGTATGTCGGCTATGACAGCTGGGACATGTATAACCTGGGCAATGAGACCAGCAACCCTGGCCCTATCGACAACTCGGGACTCTTTGCCGGTAGATTCCTCTTCTCATTTTAGTGTTAACCCTGACCTAGTCCTACTTATGGATAGGTCTATATGCGCTCGGGATGCAGCACAGTGGGTGTTACCTAATACACATACAATGCCAATTTTTGAGATCACTGATTGGTCCAAAAAGAAAGGCTATTTGAGCTCATCATGCAGCATCCTGAAGACTATACATTTTAGTCCGAGTCATTCGAAACATGTTGTTAGGGTGCTCTACTGCTGAACCTTGTGGGGAGTGTGGCCTAGTGGTTAGGGTTCCTGACACATGATCAGAGGGTCAGGGGTTCCAATCCAGCTGGTCACATGTTGTGTCCTTGGGCAAGCTACTTCACCCCCACTTGCCTCTCTCCACCCAGGAGTATAAATGGGTACCGGCTTTAAAGGGTAGATACAACATTTGCAAACATAAAAACACGAAATGATCAAATTATCACGGAATACCTTAATGAATTGTTAGGGAATGACAGTCTAAAGCATCCTGTAAAATCGTGGCTCCTGGTGTGCTGACATTTTCAAGAAAAAGTGTATTTTTCCAATGCTGGTCGGCCGACCAGCGTTGGAAAAAACTGGCTTTTTTTTCAAAAACTGTACTTAATTGTTCATATCGCATTTTCTTTGCAATTCATTACACACCTGTGAAGGGGTACAAGCCTGCTAGACTGATTCTTTGACCTAACAATTCCCCAAAGTCTATAGATTGATCCGTTTCATCTTAAGTGGGGTCAGGGAACCAGACTACAAGAACATGATTGGTTTTCTTGGCTTTTCCAGCATCTACAAGCCCAAAACATGAAACAAGTCAGTTTAACAATATTTGCTATGTCAAGCTAATCCTCCAAATCCATTGTTTTCTGAAAATTGCAGCAAAAGCAAATGTTGTACATTCCCTTTTAACTGGCATGACTAGGGAGTAACCGGCGATGGACTAGCATCCAATCCAGGGGAGCAGAAATATTCTCATACTGAAACCAGGGATAAACGCTGGCCTGATAGGCCATTTTGGCTTGTGACAGACTTTGCTTACTTTTTTGTAACTGCGGAACCAACTGTGCATCACTTGACCTCCTCATTTGTCATCAGTATAATGTAAATCACCAGTCCTCATGCATACATGCTGTCTAAAAACACACATATGCAGTCAGAAGCCTTGGCAATAGTGACCATATTATGCTCTTTCTTCTGTAACATTTTCAGCGGACTCCACAGACAAGCTGAAGGAAAACTTGATCGACGACCTAGACTACCTTCTGCTGCCCACAGACGCGTGGGACAAGCTGGCCTCATGGTACGGCACGACACCCAGCCAGGAAGCCATCAAACGCAAGGTGGTAGAGTACGGAATGTTTGTCAAGCACTGTAAGGTAGAGGTCTACCTCATGGAACTCAAACTGTCCGAGCACGGTAACCCAGAGAAGTACGTGTCGCAGCAGTTCAGCAAGGCTGACACGATAGGTGAGTGGAAAACAGTAGAGAGCTTGTGTGTCTGTTTTCCTATGTGCAACGCACGAGTAGACACTTTGTACTCTCATCATCTCTGACTTTAAAGATCAAAACATGTTTGACAGTGAGGGCGCTCTTTGCAAGCTCTCTATAAGGCCGATAAAAAAAAACACCAGTTGATCATCTGGGGGTTTTCCAAAAGAGAAGGAAGCGGGCCTTTTTATGTATTTTTTTTTTTATTGAAAAATAGGCCAAAATAGCCATATTTTGCTTACACGATATAATAATAATAATAATAATAATGTAGGAATTTATAACGCGCACTATCTCTGGAATCCATTCAAAGGCGCCGGTCTATAGATGTAAAGAAAGAAACCTCAATTATTTGGAAAAGCCAACATGAAGAGATGTGCCTTAAAAAGGAGTAGGACCTTTTTATTCTATTTCTGGGTAGTTGTCTACTAGTTGACGACCACAAAACCTTCTTAAAGTCCTTCTTATTTAGCACCTGCAGACAGGTCTTCTTGCCTTTTGTCTTGCTCTATTCTGACATTTTTGTCTTCTTGTATTTTGTCATATTTTGTTCTTACATTTTGGGAATAACAATTGCAGCTTTTTCAACAAGAATTGTAACATTTGGTGATCTAAAAGTGGATCGACATACTTTTGATTGAACTACATCGCCTATGGAAGGAACCAGTTATACAGTGCCATTTACATATATCTCTTCAAATGTGTATGTGTATGTGTACATGTATGTACAATACAGGGCAGATTTGCTTGGAAATGTCAGTGTGTTTGTATGATGTTTATCAAATACTTCCTTAATATTCTCAGCGTCAAGCTTCAACTATCGGAATTTAGAAACTTCCTGGACACAAATTACATAGTTTCCTGTAATACATGAACACAAACATACACATATGTAATTTATGGAAATATGGTTTAAAAGTAGCAGGACTAAAGTGATTTGAAATCATTGAACCAGTCATTCCCCATAAACGCAGCATATACACATTAAAGGGAAGATACAACATATGCAAACATCACAAAACGAAATGATAAAATCATCACAAAATACCTTACTGAATTGTTAGGGAATGACAGTCTAAAGCATCAGGAAAATCGTGGCTCCTGGTGTGCTGACATTTTCAAGAAAAATTACATTTTTCCAACGCTGGTCGGCCGACCAGCATTGGAGAAAACCAGCTTTTTTCAAAAACTGCTTGCAAACTCTTTGCTGCAAAACACGGACTGCAAAACCTCTTTGCAATATTGATTACACACTGTGAAGGTGTACAAGCCTGCTAGACTTATTCTCTGACCTTACAATTCCCCAAAGTCTATAAATTCTCCGTTTCATCTTAAGTGGGATCAGGGAACCAGACTACAAGAACATAAATGGTTTTCTTGGTTTTTCAGCATCTACAAGCTCAAAACTTGAAAGAAGTCATTTTAACAATATTTGCTATAACATACTAATCCTCCAAATTCATTTATTTCTGAAAATTGGAGCAAAAGCAAATGTTGTACATTCCCTTTAATCATGAAGCTGCTATGGATGGTCAATAAAAGAACCCAAATCAACAATTTATTGTGAATGATGTCCAATGCCCCTACATGTATGGACACACCGTATCCATAAATCCTGAATCAGGGACAGTATCCATTACTACAGATGATATCTGATTCCCTTATGTCATTGGATGACCCCTGTGGTATGAGTGGCATGCAGTCATCCCTGAGTGTACACACACAGCCACGACAGCTGGCCAGATACATACCTGAATGTACAGTTGCACATGTGGGCTTGAATACCTCCTTCCAAAAATAGCATAGACTGTGCACATAGAAGACACCTCCACACAACTTTACTGTAGATTTTCAGCGCATGCAGTCATCTTTGTGCATTTATGCATCTTTGTGAGAATTTATTTATTATAGATCTGGTGAAATCATGTAATAATGTTATTATGGAAAGAAACAATACTGCACTTTTTCCAAGGCCAATGGCTTTTTAGCTAGAAGGTGTCACTTGTTTTCTATATGAATTGATTTTTTTCAATATTAGCCTTATCTTGCTATCTGACTAGTCATAGATAGTAAAAAAAAATCCATTTCCCTTGCCACGCCTTTTTACACGGGCCAGTCACCAACGGTCAATTATTTCTTGTTAACAATGTGACTTCAAATTCCATCAACAGTAAAAAAAAAAAGAAAACGGGTAAAGCTTGTTTATCAATCACCCGTAGTCAAAGCGAAGATTTACAGCGATCACAGCCAGTCAATCCTGCTGTATGCAAGCAGGGATTTCTTTACTGTAAAAAAACAGTCACTTGATTGATTTTGACTGCTGGGATGGCCTTGTTGAATTTGCCAGCTAGAGAAGGAGGGTTAAACCCTAAACACTCCAACTCTTCAAAATCCAACTGCATGTTTTGTTGGAATCTGTTGGAGTGAGTACTGCACTAGTACACTGATTATGCTTTACAGAGTCCAACAGTTTGGATGTGGAGTTTACCACATGTTGTTGGATTTTGCAAGAGTGAGGAAGGTTCCCAGTAAATCACTCAAGGGGTTAGAGTTAATACGCAGTTCAGACACCCAATTTGTCAGTGTGTGGCAACTTGAGGCAAGTTCACTTTATCAGATTCATATTCCTGTAAGGTTGAATAAAAAAATTGACTGACCAGTGTAGTATTGTGGTGGCCGCAGGTTCAAAATCTGTTCTTGTCACTGTCCTTGTCCAATCTAAAATATTGATTAGCCCTAACCCCCTAGGCTCTTTTGGCTAGGAACCATCCGCAATCCTGCAAAATCCTCCATTTGCCACCATTTAAAAGGTGGATTCAGCCTCAATCCTCCAAATTTGTCTGTCATTTCTTGAATTTGTTCAATGGAAGGGTGACCATTGCCTCAATCCTTCAAACTCCTCTAACAATAACTGTTGATGGGTTGAGGCAGTGTCGATGACATTCAGAAGCAGTGTGAAGGACATCAAGCATAATGCACGCCTCAATTATGCATGGCTGAACATGAACAATGCAGGGTACAGCCTACAAACTCGACACACTGCATCCTCCAAAATCAACCAACACTTTTTATTACCATTCAGCCTCAATCCCCCAAAATCTTTCAAAATCCTCTCAGGAGGATTTTGGAGGATAAAGGAGGGTTCGGGTTAAAAGTGAGCAATGTCAGTTTCTACCTCTTTTATAAAAAAAACAACAACAACTTGATGATGGTTTTTATATAAATATATTTATATTTTGTTGGCAACATCAGATATTATCGAGAAAGCCATGAGGAAGTTGTTTGACATCAGCGAGGAGAGGGAGACGAGGATATGGAATAAGTACATGAGTAACACCTACGAACACCTGAGTAAGAAGGAGAACACGGTGCAAGATGCTGGGCTGTATCAGGGACAGGTACGCTTGCAGAAATAGAAATGGACTTCCCATTTTCCTGATTCCCTTGGACCTTTTTTTTTGCAGTATGAATCTTTATAAAACCCAACCCTGCTCAATCCAACAGGATCCAACTATTTTACATATATCCGTTGGGTCCTGTTGGATTGAGCAGCAAACCCCTTGTGTATATTCCTGTTGAAATCGGTTGGATTCAGCAGGCAACTGAAAACATTCAGAGTCGGATTCTGTTGGGTACTGGTAAATAACGCCAAGTTGGACTCTGTTGGATCCAGCAGCAAACAAAACAATAAGGCACAGTTGGATTCTGTTGGATTGAGGATGCCAGTCATTTTATATGTTCAGGCACCCAACACAACTAGGCAAGTTGGGTTGTGCGGGACTGTGTTGGATTGAGCAGGAAACTCATATGAGTAACCGTCGGACTCTATTGGATTTAGCAGGGTAGTCCTGGGGAACTACTAGGGGGTTAGGTTTAAAAGTTGTTCTCCCTGTGCTCTTTTTAAAAAAAAAATTTTGTTTCTTCCAACATATTTTCAGTTTGTATGTTTTTAAAGGAAATAAAATCCTACTGTTCTTCTATTTCGGATGTCTGACCCTCTTCAGAAAGGTTTACATTTGGTTGCTTTCATACTTGATTTATTGTCGGGGCACAACTTTGCAAAGTAATTATTTCATTACTGGATGTGCCAGGTTCTGGTCATCGAGCAGAAGAACGAAGACGGAAATTGGCCCCGGCAGACACCCACCACCTCCAGCTACAGTAGCACCAAGGACTCCAAGTATATCTCCAGTGCATCCTCCTCAAGAAGGTATGAGAAGATGCAACTCGTAACTGGCGTAATCAATTGGTAGTAGACGTTTGGTGTGAGTGTTAAACTTTACAAGTGACAGTGTAGAATTAGATGAAATTTTGTTGGCTGATGGGAAATTGAAAATCTGTAATCGCCACTCATCAATGACCTAATGCATGACGACAATACCAATTCCTGTTTATTTCATTTTGATGTGATAACGTGCAATTTAGTCTGTTGAGGTTTTAAAAACGAAGAATGACTTAAAGTAGTGAAAAAGACGACAGGGCACTGCTGGGGTAAAAGGGCCCGAGAGGTAAATTTTACCAAGACGTAAAATTAAAAAAATAATCGGGTACCTGGCCTTGCTTCCATTTTAGTGTTTGGTTTTTGTTAAAGGCGTCAAGTTCAGATGGAAGTAATTTGTCTCAGCGTAAAGTTATAACGTTACAATGTTTACCCGTCTAATATGCAGCGTGTTCTAAGCAAACTGAAAAAGGGAGGATTGCTTTTGACAGGCGTGCAACTTTTCCTCGGATCCGCTGATTTCCTATTTTTTTTACTTCTCATGAATGCTATTACAAATTGAAAAATCATGTAAAAAGTCTTGTCAGATTTGGGGTTTCCTCGTTTTTTTTAAAATTCCCAGTTGCATGCCTGTTTTGAGGAGGAGTGGACATATTCACAACATGAACGTTAAAGCACAAAATACAGATTGGACATAGTCACCTGGTACGTGATATAAATCCATTATAGGTCCATTATAGATCCATGCTGTGTTGCGATATTGAAGTGGAATACAGGAAGCAAGTTTCCCACCCAGGGGCTATTGAGATTGAAAATACAGTAGGCCCTGGAGACGAGTTTGGACTTGTGATGACTAGTGAGGGTTTACAATTTATTCGACTACAACATTGGTCTTACCCCTCTCCTGTGGTTGCCCCCCCCCCCCTCCAGTACCCCATCCACCTACAGTTCCTACGGCAGTAACTCCTACTCGGGCTACAACAGTACCAGCAACTATGAGTACAATAGTGGCAGCAGTCGGTCAGGCTTGCAGGCCGGCCTGTGTGGGCTCAGTAACCTCGGCAATACGTGCTTCATGAACTCTGCTCTGCAGTGTATGAGCAACGTGCCGCTGCTCACCGAGTATTTCCTCAGTAAGTACACCATTCTTGGGTCAACATTTTTCATCGTTCACCAATTGTTTTCAATAAGAATTGATGCTCTGGTGGTAGGAAATTGAATCTATTTGAAAACTAATCAGTGTTTTAGTCAAGTCCATCTCAAGTAGGGGTGTGCAGTTACGGGTAGTACGGAAACCAGTTACTCAATTGAAAACAAAACACAGGTACCCAGATACCCGTTAAAGAAACCCAACCCCTCAGAAGTTTCTGTTCAGATTGTTCATAAAGGTCCGTGTGTGGTGCGTCAGTGCAGCAATTCATGTCTGTACAGTGAGATTTATAGCTTTATGGTGAATATTTGCCCTTTGCAAAGGACTTTTCATCAATTTCTGACGCGGTGGGTGGTTCTGAAGAACTTGGAAGTTTTCGATTTAGGCGCGTACTCAGCAACGCGTGTTCTTTTTGCCCTGTGAACAAGATATATATCCGTGAAGGTGCTTATGTAGAAAGATTTCAAGCCTAAAAAAAAAATAAAGAGGGTTAAGGATTTTGTTCGCGGGTGTTGCATTTGTATTAGTAACCACCTCAAATGCCTTACCTTCTGAATTTTTTTTTTTTTTTTACAGCTGAGGCCTACAAAGATGAGTTGAATTACAACAATCCCTTGGGTATGCATGGAGAGATCGCCAAATCCTACGCTGAACTCATCAAACAAATGTGGTCCGGCTCATACTCGTACACAGTGCCTAGAAATTTCAAGGTAAAACAAAAAGCTATTTCTATTATTGTAATCAGAAGTTCTTTTTGTTACGGATCTGCCAATTTTGTCGATGGCCTTTAAACCTAACTCCCTACTGTCTTGCACTAAGTGCTGGACCAAGTCCGCCAAAATCCATCAATCACAATGCTTCCAATGCATGCTTTGCTTTAGGCCTCCAGGCCCAAGTCCATCATACTCCATCAATATTTAGTCAAACCAGGCCTGCAGGTCCAAGTCCCCCAAAATCCACCAAAATTCAGGGATGGATTTTGATGGAGTTGGGGAGGTTAGGGTTAATTGTGCATTCATTTACGATTTTTATTTCTGTAGAGGATGTGTGTTTGCGTTAAGTTGTTCAGAGATTATGGGGAGTCAGGATAACACGGTAGTATTTTCCTCCCTTCCCCCTTTTTGAGACAGATTCGAATCCCACCTAGGTTAACCCGTAGATTGGGTTTACAGTCCCTACTCCATTCCATGGGTTTTCCAGAATATTAACCCCAACCCCTGCTGAACACAGCAACATGCAGCACTTTTCAACAAGACAAGCCTGCACAGTGCAGCAAGATCCATTAGGTCGGAAATCTCAAGGCCAAACTGCCTCAGAGTTTGTGGTCACCAACTGCAGCAGGATGCAACTGTGGCATTGTTCAAGGAGACTAGTTCTGATTGTTTCAGAATTGGCTGTTTGTGCACTGGTGATGATGTCTCAATGCAGCAAGGTCCCACAGACTTTTACATCTGAAGCACTGTGTTGGGTCTGGCAGGGTTAGGTTTAATGTGGGTTTTTTTCTCCAACCTTTAAAGCCAAACGTTTCTTCAGTATCTTCTCTCCACAGTTTACTTCAGGTTTGTGAGCTACAGAGCATTGGGCGCTTTCTAGGAATCCTTTATTTCTTCACCATGAACAATAATACAATTTATTAGTCCTTGAATTGTGGTATCAAATGTTATATTGATATTGCTTTATTACAGATGCAAGTTGGTCGTTTTGCGCCTCAGTTTTCCGGTTTCCAGCAGCAGGATTCCCAAGAGCTCCTGGCCTTCCTGCTGGACGGTCTCCACGAAGACCTGAACAGGATCCAGAAGAAGCCTTACATTGAGATGAAAGAGAACAACGGCAGATCCGACGAGGTTGGTAACATGGTGGGGCAGTTGTGACATATTGGCCCGTGTTGTAGGCAGGGCCAGTATCACAACTCCAGTGGCACCACTTATGATAATTTATTCGTACGTCAACAGGCCAGTATATTTATTCATGAGAACAGATCAATGATGTCAAGAGCATTGTTGTTATTTAGTCAACCCGTTACATTAAAGCATTTTTAAGAATGGTTGTCGTCGAGCTACCACACAGTAGCCTAGTGGATAGCAAAATGAGCTATGGATACTAATCATATGGGAGTTGGCCTGGGTCTGATCTTTGCCTCAAAAATTCTGAGTGAAACGTTCAACCAGGGTGAAAGGGGCACTCCCGATGCTTTTTAGCTATGTCTCAATAGGGAACTTGTGGAGTATGAAATATTTCAACAACAACAAAAAAGACGGAGTAATTTAAACATTTTTAAAAAATGTACTGACAATGTCAGTACTGTGGCACACTGCAGGGTTAGAGTAGTGATTAACGTCCGACATGCGTGCACCAGAGTCCAACATGTGTGCATGACGCGCATAGCTGCAACATGCCATGTGGCCCTAGAGAGGCGCATGTGTTGTTGCCCATGTACGTGTGCATTGGGTGGGGCCTTTTTGACCAGTCTTTTGGCATGAATATGAATGTAATTTTTTTTTGGGGGGGGGGGGAGGGGTCCGTAGTAGCTATGCACATTTATTTTGAGTTTGATAATTTGTTATCACCAATCAGGTCGTTGCCCAGGAATCCTGGGGCAACCACCTGCGACGGAACGACTCCATCATCACGGACCTGTTCCACGGCCAGTTCAAGTCCACCCTGGTCTGCCCCGAGTGCAGCAAGGTGTCCGTGACCTTTGACCCCTTCTGCTTTCTCAGCCTCCCCTTACCGATCAAGAAAGAGCGGTCCATGGAGATCGTGTTGATTCGGATGGATCCCACGTGCAAACCCTTACAGGTAGGATTGAATATTACACAAATATGGACTACTTCAAGTGGCATACAGTAAAGCTATGGCCTTTTTAGGAGATGCTTGGAGTGTTCTATCTTACCTAGGCAAAGCTGTGGGAAATAGAATGCACCATGGATCAGGCAGGATTGAATAATATCAAAAAATATTAACTACTTTGTGTGGTATAGTAAAACTGGCCTTATAATGGAAAACTTTAAGTGTTCCATTTCCCTAAGACAAAGTGGAGGGACAACTCTCTCACCGAGAGAATCACAGCAGTTGCTGTGGTATTATTATCCCCAATTGGTTGGCTTTAGTCATTCAATGGTCTAACTGAACTCCTTAAGAAGCATAAATAGCCAAACAATTTGGACACTTTAGACTACCAATATCTGAAATTCTGCACTCGCATGACATGGGTTGGGGAGAGAAGAATATCTTTCCGAAGCATGTAGGCTCCACTCTTCCTGTTTATACTATTTTTAAAAAAAATACTATATAAAAAAAAAACGAATTCCAAATGGCAGGACCAAAAGTAAGTGTTCTTTCAGCAGAACGAAAACAATTCTCATAGGGATGCATTTGAATTGTTTTCGTTTCACTGAAAGAACACTTACCTTTTTTTGTGATCCATGGACAGAAATTTAAAACGGTGTTTGTGTTCAAAACTTCGTAACTTGAAAAGTACATGAGTGATTTGAATGATTCTTGTACTAAAAGAAAGCTTAATGACTGGGCTTTCATTTCCTAGATTTTGAAAATGCTACAGGCAAAACTTCATTCAAAAATTAGTCCTGCCATTTGGGTTTCGCTTTTTTTTTTAATTTTTTACTCATCCTGTACTGTGCCCTTTCTAATACTCATATTACCCATAGGTTGGATGAATAGTTGTTCTAAAGGACGTTGCCCTGACAGCATAACTTTAAAGTTCCCTTATCAAGACTTGGACTCTTTGAGTCTTAAAAACAAATCTGCCACAAGAGCCAAAAACCCTTCCTTCTACCATAAAGTCCAAAACTGACATGATATAGGAAAACTTCAAAAAGGATCTTTGTGCATAAATTTATCTTATTAAAAAAAATATATATCGAGACCAGGTTATGTGAGAAGGCAAACCGGAACAGTTCATTCGCAAAGTTGCTGGTAATTCTTAACAAAGAAGAAAAATATTTTGACTAGGTTTATTTCCATTGAACAGCCAGTGGATTCCTGCTTTAAAAAAAACCAAACACTTGTACTACATCTGATTATTCTGTGATACCTCTCTGGTTTGCATGTTTCTTTTACAGATGAAAGTTGTCGTCCCCAAGTTGGGTATGGTGTACGACATCTGCAAAGCTGTGTCTAAGATTACCAAAATATTGCCAGACAAGGTACGAAAAAAAGATTATATCCTAGAAAACTAATCCTGCTCAATCATTCCAAAGTGTTCCTTGAAACCCAGGCTAAGAAAAGATGTTTGAACCCTAACCCCTTGAGCACTTTTACTAGGAAGTATCCTGAATCCGCCAAAATCCACCAATTGTGTCATGCACACAAATTTTTGCAGTTGGTGACTGCTCGGTATGGAGATATCCTGAATCCATCAAAATCCTGCAGTACCGCTAAGTTTACAATCCTCAATCCATCAAAATCCCCCTGTTTTCAATATGGAGGTATCCTCAGTCCGCCGATATACTCCAAAACAGGGGTATGGATTTTGATGGATTCAGGGTGGTTAGGGATAATGTACCATGTGTACTGTTATCACTACCAGAACAGGTTTAGATTGTTCTGAAGGTGTGTAATTGGCCTAACAATTAGACTCTCCTTGATTTGTTTCCCTGCTGTATCATTTTGAATGTTTTATTTTCCACTATCGCTGTAATCTCACCACCTTAATTAAAGTGCCATTTTACCCACTATATAGACCGATCCAGGCACGCTGTTCATTCTCACATGAAGGCCCCCTTCAATGGTGAAGCATTGTGCTAGCTATTGTTCAGATAATCCATCACAGGGCAGTTGCTTTGTACAATAGCATGCACAATGGTTTCTCCATTGAAGGGGGCCTCATGAGTGTACAATGATCACTACCATGATATAACAGGATTTGTTATACCTCTGTCTTGAATACTGCATTTTCATTGGCCTAGAACAATCATGTTTTAAGTTTATAAAAAGTCATGGCACACTCCCTGTGGGATGTCACGTACGTGTACGTACATGTACATACAGTGTGACACGCTAGTATCGCTGGTACCCACGCTATTTTCACCATGTTTTCTCACATGAGTGGGAGCAGCGAACTAGCAGACGATCAGCCGTTTCGAGCACGCGACATGCATGTGACTTGACATTTGATTGTCATGATTGTTGTGTTTACTGCCGTTTGTTTTCGTGACTTTTACATCAAAATCCAAAAAATCCAAGACAGAGGTATAACAAAACAATTGTTGACTGCTGTGATGTGGGATATGATGTTTTGAACACCCTTGGGGCGCATAGCACCCAAGGCGAAGTGGTAACAGGTGCCTTGTAATGAAGTTTATATGTTGGGTGTGTGTATGTTGCAACCAATCAAAGGTAGCGTGGTGTTTCATGAAATCAAATGGGTTTAAGTTTTAAACATCCACATTTCGATGCCTGTTTATTTTTTGTCCTGTTCTAGATGGTAGTAACAGATGTCTACAACCACCGTTTCCATTTAGTATTTGCCCCCAACGATCGCATCAAGAATATTACAGATAAGGACGATATTTATGTGTAAGTATGCATGTTCCTTTTTCAGCTGTTGCCCCTGATCAGTTGGCATATAAATCATTATTATTATATCAGGTTTCCAGCGGTAAATATAATCAGCGTATTGTATGCTTTTGTAAAACGTACCCGGATGACAGCAATAATTTTGATATTGCTCTGCGTGCCCTCATCCAGGCATTTTCGCTGGTTCCCACACGATCAAGAGCGTAGAAACTCACAGTTGTCAACCACTCAACAGAGCGTAGCGCGCGATACCGTCGAACACGGACGCCCACGCAGCGAGTATGCAGCGCGCATGCAGCGCGCAGCAGGCCAGGTACGGTAAATGCGCACTGTTGTCAACAATTACAGTGGCAGCTTCAAATAGTTTGACGAAAAAGGAGAAATGAAGACAGTGTCTTGAATTGTATTCCTTGCGAATCAAGTCAGCCTGACATAAATAATTATAATAATATTGGATGACTTTTTTTTTAGGGATACAAGAATATATTGCACTCACTATGACAATACTGCACTCGTCGATTGTCATATCTTGTGCAATATATTCTTGTATCTACCTCAAAGCCATCCAATATTATATAATTATTTCGTGTGACTCAGTTGATCAAATATTTCCAGTTGATAAAATCTCTTCAGTCGACCACAATTTGTTTGGTTCATTTTCCAGATACGAAGTACCAGTCAATGTTGCTGATGATCCCGAGGTTGTCATTCTCCCCGTCTACCTCCGAGAGAAGAGGTCAGTGTTTTCTTGACTCTCCAAAGTTATTGACATATTGCCAAAACTATAGAGGGAGCTGTTCATCATTATCACAACCTCTGATAGACAAATATAACCCAGACTGGACGTGCCTATGCTTATTGACTCTCGTTATAACAAACTCGTTCGGACCTAGCCAAATTGTTTGTTATATCAGAATTTTGTATTAAGAGGAACATCAGTCCCATTCATTGTGCACATAAATGCACAGTCGGGACCAAGGCTTTAAGTTTGTTATAACCAGAATTTTGTATTAACAGAGTTTGTACTAACGAGAGTCGACTGTATTGAGTGCATATGGTGAGGGGAGGGGGGTAAATATTTAAATACATTCTATACGGACTTAAATTTATATTCCACTGACTAAAGAGTAAAATGATAATTTGTTTTCATTAATTGCAGCGTAAAGAATTCAACCTATAGCTACAGTCAAAACAACTACAACCTGTTTGGGCAGCCAATGTTGGTACCCGTCCCACGCAAGTTGCTCAAATACCCAGAGCTGTACCAGATCATGCTCAACAAGATGTCGTAAGTAATCTCAATTTTTTTTTTTTTTTCAAGATTTATTAAATTTTTTCAATTGTGTTCTAAGGGCCTTTTTGTAAGACAGTGATACTAAATGATAGAAAGAAATACATCTTTCAGACCCTTCATTCAATTTTCAGACTTTTTTTAAAAATTGGCAATATCTCTAGATTTCAAGAAGGCTTTAGAATTTGGCAGAAATGCTCAAACACAAAAACCTTAAAAGAGTTTGAGAAAAGTTTCATTCAAAAAACATTGTGTAAGTTCTAAGGTTATATGACCATGTTGTCTGCTGTTCATTCTTTCAGGAGATACGTCAGTATACCTGAGAATGAAAATTGGACGAACAGTGACAAGGAAGGCAACGAAATCATAGAAAATGGAGGTAAGTCATTCATGTTGATGATTCTTTCTTAACAGATCTTTATCACCCTGGACCAATTGCTGGAGTTGCTTTATAGCACTCACAAATAATAAATGTTTGTGAGTGCAATGGTAAGAATAATTTCATGAGGTGACAGCTGGAGTCCATGTGTCACCTCATGAAATTATTCTTTCCATTGCAAGAATGTGAAACATTCATTATTTGTTTTATATAACACCTGAATAAATCCTCATCATCTGATTGGTTGACCTGTGAACTGGTACGTACATCAATGTTTTCAGACAAACTGGTGGTCCCTTCCAACATGTGTTTTATTCTAAAACTATTCCACAACTAAGTTTAGAACTTTCCAACTTAAATATTTTAAAAACTCTTCTCGACAAGATCAGAACTACTATATTCAAATTCGTCTAATTGTTTGGTAGCAAATCTTATTTGCTTCTTTGTGTTAGCAATGTCAGTATTTACATAGAGTTCTGATATCTCTTCGTAGAACAAATGGACATTCTCGTGTATCGTTCGCCAATTTGACATTCTGTGAATCATATTCGTAATAAGTACAGCGCAAGTATTTTTACCTTGCAAGGGTTGTTTTTTGTATCGCTGAACACCTTGACTGACCATCTGAAAGTGTATCACGCAATATTCATTTGCAAATGATAAACATCCAAATTGCACTGCACCGTTTCTCCACAGAAACAGATATGGATTCCGACTCGGACTCGACGCAGGACAACAACACGAGCGAAGAGAACGAGGGCAGCAAACAGGACGTCAAAGACGACAAGAAACTACCGGGACTGTTTGGCATGACCTTAGTCAACTCCTACGGTAGCGCTGAGCTGGCCAAACTCAAAGACGACGGCAACGTTATCAAATTCACAAGTAAGTCTCGCTAGCTTGCCCGAAGAAAACTGAAATATGCTGTTGACTTCTTTTTTTTAAGCTCTTCTATAAGTAGGCATTATGCTCCTTGCATTTCTGAAAGGCATATAGGATCGTTTGCATTTATCCCAAAAGTAACCTACCGAATTATTTTTAAAAAGCTTGCTTAGATTAAAGATCGTACTGGTTCTAAAGTCCCTGTGATATTTTTCCGTCTGGCTTGCTGTCATTTAGAAGAAATCAGGAAATGTAGGTGATTTTTCATCGATCAGATAATTGACTGATCATTTAGAAATAAAGACTTCTATTGACGAAATTGTGTTCGTGATCAAAATAGTGTTCATGATTTTTCACTGTTTTCTCAAAAAGTGTAATATCCACTGAGCTGAAACTTTGTTTTGATTTTGAACATTCTTCTTTGGATTTTGAGTGATGTTATTATTAAAAAAAAAAGGAAAACCAAATTATCCTTTATGCCTTTATATACCACAAGGCTCTGCAGTTTTCTGCCCTATGCAAGTTCCTAACATCTCCTTGAAATTGACCCCTGCACGTGTTGCAGCTCGCTTATCATATTGTACAATTCTCATTGGATTTGAAGCATGGCGTATGAACCAAGGGCCTGTCTGATTTGTTTTTCTTGTCTTTACTTTCACAGATCGATCATATGTAGCTTTAGACTGGTATCCCAAAGCCAAAGACAAATTGTACAGTGACGAAGAGGCTGAGGTGAGTCTCTCTTATCGATTGTGTTGAACTTTTAAAATTCAGCAACCCAGGCAGCTGTGTTGCTGTATTAAGTAATATTGTGAAAATCCTGCAATAGTTTAAGCCTTGCAGCGATAAAAAACGATTAGAATGTGCAACAGTACTGTTTCTTAATTCTGTTGTTTTGCTGGATTCCTTCTGAATCCCTTATAATACTACATTGTTAAAAGGTGCTTAGGTAATTTGACCTTGAAAATCCACTGGTTTACATCGTTGGTGTCATCTTAATTCTTTCAAAATCACCATTTATAACAATTTATGGATGTAAACCGTAATCCGCTCCGTTCACAAGTACCCCCTCACAGCCTAAGGAAGTACAGTTGGGGGTGACCGACCGACACCATCTTGCCTGACTCCAATTCATTTGCCGCGAAGCGCTGTCACTGCGTGTACATAACAAAAATCCCCTGGAGTACGTGCGTCACACACAAGGAACGGTGCGCGTCAACCAGCGAAATGTCCCACCCATGGGACTTCATTGCTAGGGAAAAGGGCGCCCTCTTTTGGTAGCGCACAGAGCTCATAGCCTTCAATACCTTAAAGCAGACAGTAGAGTTTGATTGGTTTTGTTGAAATTTGTAACTTTGCAGTGGATGTGACTATGGCAATTTTGTGTAGAAAGTTGAAGTTCCAGCTTTCGTATGACCTTTTGCAGGCGTACGACATCCATGAAAGTATGAACTACCAAAGCACATCGCGCAGACAGCACATTGACCTAAGTGACTGCATCAATCTCTTCATCACAGAGGAAACGCTAGAAAAGGAAGATTCATGGTGAGTTGACATCGCCGACTTGGCTAGTTTGTCCTTTGGTTTGAAAAAATAAATGAAATGTTCTGGAAATTCTTTTACCTTTAAGTTACTGTTCCCGTCGTATTGAAAATGTGAGCCCTTTTGAGTGGCGTCACTAGACCACTCTGTACTGGAAGGTAGCCGGTAATGTTTTCCTGGTCACCAGGCAACCACAAAATCAAAAGGGCCCGGGGGAGGGAGGGGGGGGGGGTCATGGACACTAACTGACTTATGGGGGTACTGTTCAAAGTGCGCGAGACTGGACACCACAGACAATAGGTGGCACTATTCATTGCAGCTTATTTGGAAATAGACACAATTTTGCTGACAGGACAACCATTTTGCTGGTAAAAACAAATAATTGGGGGGTGGCAAATGTTTTATCTGCTAGCAATAACCCTGAGTGTAATTTTTGCCAGCCAGCTGGATATATTCGCCGGTTCCTGGATTTTGAAACTTGTCACCACGTAATCCGTGCATTAGTTCTGTCCCGTCTGGATTATGGTAACTCTCTACTATATGGTATCGCTGAGTCAGGTCGGGATAAACTTCAACGACTACAAAACCATGCTGCACGCCTTTTATTTACCGCTGGCAGGCGTGAATCGGCTTCTCCACTACTTAACAAACTTCACTGGCTTCCCATCCGGCAAAGAATTGAATTCAAGATAGCCCTCCTCATCTTCAAATGTCTCCATCACACAGCTAATAACCGCCTCATCCAGCTCAACGTATCTGGCCGACCTGGCCTTCGTTCCAGTAACGATGGTACACTATTGTCGGTGCAGAGATCCAAGAACACCTCCACTGACCGTGCCTTCGTTATTGCCGGCCCTAAGCTCTGGAACACCATACCCTCCTCAAGCATCAGATCACAGGAGACTATTTCATTACTCAGAAAACACTTAAAAGCTCACCTGTTTCCAATTTCATGTTAATATGTCTGTTTTCATTATCTTGTGTTGCTTTAGCGCCATGATCTAGATGGAATGGCGCTTTATAAATCCTGTTATTATTATTATTATTATTATATATACATGTATATCATACCCTTCACGTGGCATGCTTTATGCAAGCTTAACGTCAGCAAAGACTTTATAGGGAGGAAACTGAAGGGTGCTCTTTTGCTTATCAGAGGTTAGCTTGGCATTCTATGTTGAGTGTGTAACTGCTCACCCCCACCATGCATTAGACGGGACATTTTTTAAGACAAAAGTTGAAGTGTTTTGGAGGGTGTACTCCCGAGCAACAGCTAGAGTGTTAGATGACCTTTGCAATGACCTCACAGCAAAGAACTGAGGAATTGCAACAGGTCGTATTTCTTTTCTTGACGTTTTTGCGCAGAGGTTTTTGCAAACTTGTAATCATTTTTTATTTCTTTGTTTTAGGTATTGTCCAGCATGCAAAAAACACCAAGAGGCTACCAAGAAATTTGACCTGTGGCAACTGCCCAAGGTGCTAGTGGTGCATTTAAAACGCTTCTCCTACACTCGCTTCTGGAGAGACAAGCTTGACACGGTGGTCAACTTCCCACTCGAGTAAGTTCAATATTTCCAGTTTTAAGGAACAATTTTGTAAATTGACATCTCTCAAATGCATAATCCCATCATATAGGATTGAGTGCGGTTCCCCCCCCCCCCCTCCCCCCCCCCCCCCTACTACATCAAATTTGAAACGGCTTGCAGATCCCCGGTAAGCGTGGTAGTCAAGTGGTTAAGACGCCTACACTAGTAAGCAGGAGCTTTTTGGTTAAATTCCTATCCGAGCAAGCTTGTGGTTTCTTTCCCTCGCAAGCTTCCAGACAGCACTGAATATACATGTTGCTTATTAAACTACTTTGGCGAAGGTCAAAAACCCTAATTATAATTTACATCTTTCAACCGACCAATACAAACTTTAGTGTTTTGACCGCTCCATCTCCTTCACAAAAACTTGTCGCTAAGAATTGTCGCTAAGCAGTGTGGGTAAGTCACTTGTTATGATCCGTTCGCACAGCTTGGAGTGTAAGCCCGGGTGAACTGGTTTTTAACAAAATCTGCCCAAAGAGAGCTAAAACTTGTCAAGCTCAAAGAAAGTACAAGTCACTAGGGTGATTGAGACAGGGTATCAATAACCTCGTCCTTTGTCTGGTAACCTCTAGCAACAACATCACTTACTGTGTTGTTGTCTGTACTCTCTCCCAATCCAGGAATTTAGATATGACACAGTATGTCATCAATCCCAAGGAAGGCTCATACAAATATGACCTGGTTGCCGTGGCCAATCACTTCGGAGGGCTTGGAGGTGGTCACTGTAAGTACCTCATTTGCTTGTATATACATTTGTGAACCTTTTAGAAAACAAGCTCGATCGGAAATATCTCAGAAGCTGCAGGCCAACAAATTGGTGTTCATGCATGAGTCACGTCATTGTGCCATGTAATTTCTGGAAGTAGTAGTGTTTTGAGTTTTAAAAAAAATCAGGTTTTTGACCCCGATTTGTTTTGTTTTTCCTGTAACTTAACTTAATTTTATTTCCAATTCCAAACAAGAAAATGCACAAAATGGATAACATTGTATATAATGCAGTGGAAAAGAAAAAATAATTAGAAAGACAATACAGTTTGGAAATGGAGGGGGTCCATAAGAAGCACAGCTTGTTGAGAATGGGCCCCCTAAATTATGTTGATTGTAGATTTGGGTATTTTAAAGGATTCAGAAGGGACCCAAGCTACACCCAACACAATAGGATAAACATAGACAGAACTAAATGTAACATATTCAGATAAACAATAGACTGACAATAGAGAAATATGAATGCATAAACTTTGAATAATAGACATACAGGTGAATCAATAAAGGAACAATATAAAAACATAATGACAAGGTATTAAACAATGAAAGTCGAAAAAGGTATCATATAATCAGGTAAGTGTAATGTAAGTTGATTTCCCATTGGCTATGCACAAAAAGAACATGAATGTTGGCAACGTTTGCGTGAGTGGAACACAACCCCGATGTTCTCTGTCTGTTTCTTGCTGGAACTTGGGCAGGAAGTTAGAGTTTTGGGGCAGTTTATAGTTGGTTTATCAAATGGATGATTATCTACATTATACCGATGCTGGAACAGTTTTCTCTTGACTTCCTCTTGTCTCTTAGGCGAAGTTCGGGCAAGGACCATTAGTCGACCAGTGGTTGATTTGTGACGTACCTTACGCCTGCGCACTGATAGCAACGTGCGAACGTCTCTAGTCAAACGCTGGTCAAAATGTCGTCGCAAAACTTCTGGATCCTGGCTCTCTGCTTGCGTTATGAATGCGCGCGGCTATTGGTTACCAGCGAAGCAACCAACCCCAGTAGGCTGGTTCCAAATAGTCGACTAGCGTAGTCAACCACCGTCGACTAGACAGAGTTCGGGCATACGTTAGTTAACCATTGGTCAACTATAGTCCTTGCGCGAACTTGGCCCAAGTCTGAGTATCACCCGTTATCCACGGAGGCAAGTCCTGTATAACGTCTGATATGTCTGGACATGCAGATATATGCAAGCCGCGCGCCAGCCAATCGGAGTCGACTTTACTAAAATCATGACGTCATTTCATTCCTAAATCGGGACTTAATGGTTTGATTGGTCAATTCGAATGCAGTGTTTTGTAATACAACGCCATATCGCGTAACATGATACAGAACGCACGACATTTTTTTTTTATCTATTGTCTATGACGCGCAACGGGTGAATGACCGAAGACGCGATATAGAAAGCACCCGCTGATTGGTCAAAATCTAGGAGGTCAAGAGGCGGGGTCTTGCCTAATTAATCAGTGAATCTGTTCACGCATAATCTATTACATAGACTACCTGTCTCTGTGTTTGAAGCTGAAGATTTGAAACAGATTCCTTTTTTTCTTATAGAGCAAGCAAACAAGCAAAATTGTACAACAAATATGGAAATGTCAATATCACTTAAATAACTTAATTGTAATCCTTGGACAAGTCTGTTACATACAGTGTATCTGGGCACAAATCCTTAAAAACCTTGTAATTCTCTTCATTATGACACATTGTGCCTTTGTAGAATTTTGCCATCCAAAACGTATTCCATCGTTTTCTGTACAGATTTTTCATATGCAAAGAACGCCAAAACGAAAAACTGGTACAACTTTGACGACAGCTCCGTATCCAGGGTAGACAGTGATGCTGTGGTGGTGAGTAGCGTGTCCATGTGTATTTCATTTTGATCTTTCAGGCCCCATATCGGATACCACAGTTCTACGGTAGGGGGGAAAGAAACAGATGTGTGCTACCGTTTGACGGAGTTAAACAAAAACACTTAATCACGGTTCCAAGAGTCATGGAAAAATCCTGGCATTTAAAGCTATCATGGAGAGTCACGGAAAAGTGACAGAATTTTTGTTATTTTGCATGGAGTTGTGGAAAGTTGATATTCCAAGAAAACAATCATGGGAAAAGTCATGGAATCCTGTGCAACAAATACTTCGGCATGGCTGAGACTGTTCCACTGTTTTCCATTTATAGCAAAAAATCCCCGCTTACTGTAGCAGAAAATCCCACGCTTACGGTTGGCGTATTTCACGGGTTGGCGAGTAATTTGGGCTCATGCGCATGCATGCATCCTATAACTAAGGATTCTGTGCTCACATGGTTTGTACAGAATTGTTTCTGCTTGCACTGTAAGCACAGATTGGTAATTGTAAGCGCGGAATTCGGTGGTAAACTGAGCCATGAAATTGGGCCCTGTGTGTAGCAGCTAGTACAGCTACTGTAGAGGTTAGCTGGTCTTCGCATTTGTGCACATTCATTTGGACAATTCCACGGTTACTCATGTTTCATTTTTGATGTACTTTTGAGTTTCCTTGGGCTGTAATTACTTTACTGAAATGGTTTAATAACTGTTATCCCCACGGTAGATAGAGTAGACCTAGACCTACCTAAGCACCAAAGATGATATCCAGAAAAATGTGTTATGTGTGATAAACAAGACGCACAAAATTGGTTACTCACGTTACAAAAATGTAATGTGAGTAGCCATGAATTGACCATTGTAGTCTTGCAGATCGCTTCATGCAATGTTGAGGGTATCGGCATGTCTGGTGGGGTGGCAACAGCTCACACTCATTAACACTTGTATTTTTTGGTATCTAACCTCCTAGACGAAAGGAGCCTATGTACTATTCTACATCCGCAAAGACTGTCACGCCCCACCCAGGTCTGGGATCCCGGCCACAGTCTCACGGGCTAGCGCTGATGAAGACGGCGAGCTCAGTAACGGTGCAATGACGAACGGTCGGCAGTCATCCAGTGGGGATGCGTCGGAGGATGGCGACGACATGGACACCAACTAGACACGGAGCACCGGGGACATCTGGCACAGCTGTGGAGTCCGTCACTAGTCAGTCACAGGTCGATTCACACAAGTCCGTCATAAGTCACATCACAATCCACGTCACAAATCCATCAGAAGTCAATCATAAGTCAGAAGTCGCATCACAGGTCCATCACAAGGTGCATCACAAGTCAGGTTCCAAGTAACAGGGGATGAACAAAGGACAAAAGAAAAGCCTCTGCGACAATTCACTTGAATAGCTTGTGACTTGACTCGTGGCTGAGTGACTTGAGATGTTATGACTTGTTGTGATGAGACTACATCTCCGACATCCAGCATCCTCTCATCAAACGCATTATTACTGTTGTTGATGTCATTAAACACCTTTGTGCATGTCATTAGTGATACATGAGAGTTAAACACTTGAGAGATTTTGCTTCAATTCATCAGAGTGCTTATTGGTTATAGGTTAACTCTTTCGCTACGGCGAGCCGCTGACAGCGGCCCATACAAATTGTGCAGGTCGTACGGAGAGCCGCTGGCAGCGGCTGGGTTGCGTCGCTATGAATAAACATGATGTCCCCATGACGTGGCCAATATCTACATAATTTATATCGTATAACCTCTGACCCTAGTTTGAGCCGTTGCCAGCGGCTCTCCGTCTGGCCGGGGTGCGCTTTTTGTTATTGTGAGCAGTTTGTTTACGGAGATACATTCAAAGATGGCGGCGCCCACATCGACGCTCGGCGGAATTTTCAGCTTTGAATTACGTCCAGTTGGGACGAAAAAGGTAAATTAAATTCCGTAGCGAAAGAGTTAAGGGTGAAAGGTCAAGTATCTTACGCAATACTTCAGTGGCGAATATCAGATGTGAAAATTACATCCTACAATATATATATATCAACAATTAAAAATCTGCCAAATTATAATGCCCTGCTTGGGGCTCTTTCCAATACTAGCTTTTACCGCATCCATAATGCGATGCGCTTCTGTGTAAGGCAGAGGGCGCCCTCTAGTGACAAAGGATGCTTAGCTTTTGCTTGAGAGAAAAAAAATTACGTATATGAAAAGCGTCTAGAATATTGACGTTGTGTTGTAACAATGTCATATTTTCAGTGTTTCAAACGTCATGTCATTTTTTCTCTTCGCCAAATTTGGAAGTAGGGATTATTTTTTTTGGGGGGGGGGAGGAAATATCAAATTTTTGAAGACATCTTTCATTTGCTAATGCCAAAACCTCTGTACATAATATAAATTCATTGTAAATGCTCTATTTAATAGCAGTAGTTCGTTTGTTTTTCCACTGGTGAGTAATCTTCATTATTTAATATCAAAAACGGACTACAAATTGCAAAAAAAATGGTGTGTGCATTTCATGGAATTTAATTGTCAACATGACGACCTCGTGGTATCCTCATTTACATAAATGAAACATTTTACGTGCAAAAACAGCTATATTATAAAGAACACTATGAAGTGAAGTAGTCATGTACAGGGGTATCATTAAAACCATAAGCAGGAATATAGTATCCCATACAAAAAGTCATAGGTGTAATTAACATGCACTAAACTAGCTTTCCTATAAACATTGTAAATTCAGGCTCAAGTATGCGTAATATTTTTCTTGTCCAATTTAAGAGACATTGTACATGTACATAAAACTCTGTGCTGTCTGGTGTTCTGTTAAAATGGCCCTCAAAGAATTTGAAAGTGATGTTTATATTAATGCTGTAAAATTGTGGGGTTTTTTTTGTCTACTGTACCCACCCTAGAATCTGAAAAAAGTCCAGCAGCAAGTTTTACACGATTCTGGATTATAGTACTCTTCAAAGTCTCAAGCTACCAATATTTTACGTGGGGCTCCAAATTTGATGCAAGTACAAGTTGTGTCGTCGTTGTCTTTTGGCTGAATGAGTATGGTTCCTTATAACACAGGCTTTCAAGCATTCCTGCTTATCCTACTTTTCCCTACTTTTTTTACTTTTAGGCCAAAAAAAAAATAAGTCGGTCTCTGGTCAGCGCGCGCGTCGATTTTAATCATGCGCGTCAATCTTTTTTTTTCCCAAAAAGTTCCGCGGTAGCTCCAACAGCGCCCTCTATTGCCGCACCTCCTCAATTTTTTTTTTACCAAAGAGCACCAAGGAATGGGAAATTGCACCAAGGCAAATTATGGAGGACACCAATGTACATGAGGACACAAAAAAAGCAAAATAGTACCCCACCTTGTCTGTACAATCCAAGCTTGAACAAAAAAAAAAAGCAAAAAAAAAAAAGCTGCGTCCCCGCGTCAATTCCGGAACTTTGGTCTGACCAGAGACCGAATATATCTTTTTTTTGGCCTCATCTTGAAATTCCTACTTTTTCCTACTTCTTGTCATGTTTTTATGTAGCTACCGAAATTTACCCACACCAAATACAGTGGAACGCCGCTATACTGAACACCGCTATACGGAACATTTGGCTATACCGAACATCATCCTTGGCTCACGGTTTTAATGTACAAAACATACCGAACACTGTTGTTGAAAAAAGTCAACAGATTTAACTAAAAATCTACCGGTTGTACATGTATTAAACACTATTTGGGCCACTTTGAATAACTTTTAATTAATTTAATAACTTTTAATTCCCGAACATCAAACGACCCATAGTTACATCGTGTTTGAATGTTGAAGAGCGATAGATGGCTATTATTTCCCCAAGGAATAGAAGGGAAAACCACTCTTGAGAAATGCCAGTTCACTATTGGTCAAAAGAGGGTACCGTCGGTTCAAAATCGATATTCCGAACGATCGTTATTACGAACACTTTCTGTGGATCCAACGATGTTCGTTATAGCGGCGTTCCACTGTAGTGCCGTTCAATAACACTTTTCATAACAGGGTGACACACTGTCACATGTAAATCACACAATGAATGGCTTAGGCGCAGGAGTACTGCAACTGTACTTCCAAAAGCTTAGTTGAGGATGAAGCACAAGTGATGTGAGTACAGAACATGCCAAATGAGGCTTATGATGTTGTGGACATGGGTGAGTATCAACAAAAACTACTCCTGAAAGCCCGCAAAAGTCCAACCTATATCCTGATTTTATCCTCCAAAGTCCTACTTCTTTTTCACCTGGGTCTGCTTGAAAGCCTAAATACCCCCCCCCCCCCCCAAAAGGTTGTTATAAAGCCAATAGTTTTAGGACTCGCTACATATTGCTATTAAAAAATGGCTATGTGTTCTCGCACTACTTTCTAGTAAACTAAACCACTGAGAAACTTGGTCTGTGTCGATAGATGGTGACTGTATATGGCATATGCTTTGATAAAAACAAAAAAACAACAAGAAATTCTGGATTATTAAATGTAGGACTTTGTGGCAGTTTCGTCCCCAGCCTGTATATGGCGAGTCAAAAAAGACATCAATACATCATGTGATGGTTCAATAGTGATACATTGTGGTCGTACTCATTAATGTACCAGCTTAACTTAAGCCCTATAAACAAAGATCATTACAGATTTTCATTAGTTTTAAGGGATACCCTCATGATTTTTATACGCTTTCTGATAATTTTAAACACCCAGCCCAAAATACACGACAATTTATTTGAACTGTTTGTGTTTATTAAATACAGGTGAAACATAGTAAAGACCATTGGGAGATGTAAGTTATTGAATACTTAAGTATGGTACTTGTGAAATATTTATTTCCTCAGAAACATACAATCACACACACTAGATATTGAGTTGGTCAATTAACACTTAAAGTCAATGCCAGCATTAAAATACCTAAATAGTAATTTGTATCAAAGAAAATTGGGGGAAAAGGGGAACTCGAATTTTTGCAGCAACCTGAGTATTTTATCTTGAAGAGCCGGGCATTCAAAAACTAAAATGTAAAGTGAAAATTAACAAAGTGCTTTAAGTGAAAGCTTTTAGAATTAGGAAAATGACACTAATCAGCATTATGTTTTTTTCTGGAATAGAAAAAAATGTAGATGAAATCACGCACTGCTGTTCCATGTTTAGGTCCTTCATTGCTAAGTCTTCTACTTGACTCCAAATGTATTAATTTTTAATCAATATTATCAATCTTGTCTGTTCCTTTATCAGTTGAAGTTATAATTATATTTTTTTTCATAATTTGAAAGTGATAAATTTGCTTTCCCTTTTGAACATATTGCATCAGTCTTTAAAAGGGGCCATGCAATGATTTTTCTTAGGAATATGTTCTGTTCTCCTCTTAAATGCATGAAAACTGTTTGGCATCCATTCTTGGTCAATTTTATTGAAAAGTGCACTCTTTAAACACTCAAAAATGTTCCATGCTTTTCAATACAAGTGGGGGCACTGTTGCTGTGATGTCATTTCAGAAAGACCTTGTTCAGTTTAGGGGTTTTGGGTTTTTTTTGTTCAAATTGTGAATTGCTCATTAAAAAAAAATTGTGAGAAAAGTGTGCTCATGTACTGACGCAACAACGATTCACCAAAGAAAACAAAACTTTACAACAGTAAAATATCTAAAATTCTGGCAACTTGTGGTGTTGAAATAAATGTAACATTGAGATTTCTGCCTGAAATGACATCACTCTTGCTCATGAATATGGAAATTGGCATTACCATAAAAAGGCACCAAAATACCCTTGAAAATGTCAAAACGAAAATTGAAAGTAAGTAAGGTTGAATTGGAAACAGGTGTATTTTCCAGGTGGCATGTAAAAAATCACATTACATGGCCCTTTAAAAACTATTTCTGATCAAAAGGAATGGCACTTGCTTTATAAATTTGATATTCTGAAAATGTGGATGTGATTATTTTAGTTAATTGTAATTTCTTTGTATTTGAGTTGAATTTTACATTGTTTAATATTTATGATTGTAAGAAATGTTGGTGTATATTATAATGTGCACACCGTGTTGGGCAAAGTGTGAATTTGTAAATAAAAATGTTACATTTGTGATAAATTCATATGTGCTGTCCGTTCTCTCCCTTTTTTGGTTCTGTAAAAAACATTACAAATTTTTAATTTTTATAAAAACACCAAATGCACGCGTAACTGAAACTAAATGTACACGTTCTAAAAAAAAAACCCGACCCCATACGTCTAAGTAGTTTTATTTAGAACGTATAGTTGATGGTGTTATTGCATAATCACGCCATTGTTCTGATAAAAATCGTGAAATACGCTGCAGACGACCGCAGCGAGCTAGCTGTTGACGGTACGTGGTTCTTCTTTTTGGGCAGTCCTTAACGTTTTTCTGAGGTAACGTGTTTCACTATAAAGTTATAGTATTGTCCTCCATGCTTTTGAACACTTTCTAAAGCCTCAAATCAAAGGCTTTTTGTGATGCACAAACTATAGGGCCCTCGTGGGATCCACCACACTAGTCACTACTGCTGTGCTGGTGCAGGTGCTGGCTGCGCTGCAGCGCTGGCGCGGTATCCGTACACGTACGTACATGTACTACACGTACATTTTTACACT